AAATAAAAATTTGAGTCGTTAATTGTGAACATAGCTCATCATTGATATGTTTGGATCTCAGAAAATGACAGGGAGGGAAATAGAAAAACTATGGTTACTATCTTATGTTTAGCTTTATATAGGGAAATGAAATATGCTCAATGTTTTCAAAATTTTGCATATATTTTGATTTCTTGAGTATGATCCCCCTATCTTTTTATTTTAGATTTAGTTTTACTGAGTATACAAAATGATTTAAATTTGAGTACGATCCTATCATTCATTTTTTCCATTTTTTGCGTTCATCTTTTCTATCCTCTCAAATTGTATAGCATTTGGAAACTCAAAGTTTTCCTTCTAATCTTTTGGATGTTGCAGATTTCTACTCCATCATGTCAGAGGGCAGTGCAACTGATTCAGAGGCTGACAACGAAAGCCGCTATGGAGTTGATGTTGAAACAGATGAAGAGGATATTACATTTTTCGATACAAATGATTTTCTGTCTTCTGAAGCTATGAAAAGTGCTTCATATCGCAGTAGAGATGCCCGTCATTCTTTGGCACATGATGATGAGTCATTTTTCAGTTCTGGTCGAATCAGAGAAGTAGGAATGGAAATAAAGACAATTAATTATCCTTACATTAAAAGAAGGGATAATCTTCCGGAACCGAAGGAAAAGGAGAAGCCAATTGGTTTGTGGGCCATTATCAAGGATAATATAGGGAAAGACCTGTCTGGTGTGTGTCTCCCAGTCTATTTCAATGAACCACTTTCCTCCTTGCAGAAATGCTTTGAAGATTTGGAATACTCATACTTGGTTGACCAGGCGCTTGAGTGGGGAAAGCAGGTCAGTTTCTTAGCTAGTAGTCCTTTTTATTTGTAGTAGGTGTTTATCCCCTTGCCAGTGTCATCTGGTGTCACCATAAGGTTGGTCTCAAAATAACCCAACCGACAAACGAATGTGTAACTAAACACATTTGTTAAATACTAATGTCATTGCTTTTGTTTGTGCTCCCTTTCAGGGCAATGATTTGATGAGAATTCTAAATGTTGCTGCTTTTGCTGTTTCCGGCTATGCATCCACTGAAGGCCGGCAATGCAAACCTTTCAATCCGCTACTTGGGGAAACGTATGAGGCTGACTATCCAGATAAAGGTCTGAAGTTCTTCTCTGAAAAGGTATTATTTTGTATACATCTTTTTTTAGTCCTCAAGAAATTTGGTTGCTTCATTTCAAATTTCCAAAATACTCCATTAACATGTTTTGTAAATCTTTTTTGCATGCACGATCGTTTCTTCAATAAAACTACATGATCAACTCTGAATGTTATATAAACAGTGCTACAACAGGAAACATGTTTTCAGAAGCAATGAAAACAAGAAATTTCTGCTTCCAATAATTTTCTGGAAATGAAAAAACTCAAAACAGAAACACTACCATCAAAAGGGGTTTCTTGTTATGTTTTCATAGAAGTCAACATAAAGAGAAAGCAGAAAGTGTCACCAAATGATGTAATTTTATGTTCAACAAATTATTGTATACTTATTCAGGTCAGTCATCATCCTATGGTTGTTGCATGTCATTGTGAGGGAAGAGGGTGGAGATGTTGGGCAGATACTAATCTTAAAGGGAAGTTTTGGGGCCGTTCAATTCAACTTGATCCAGTAGGAATCCTGACCTTACAATTTGAAGGCGGCGAGACATTCAGATGGAGCAAGGTCACTACTTCGATATACAATATTATAATTGGGAAAATCTATTGTGACCATTACGGCACTATGCACATACAAGGCAGTGGCAAATATTCCTGTATCCTCAAATTCAAGGAGCAGTCTATTATAGACCGAAATCGTCATCAGGTGATTTCCATTCCCAAACTCCAGATTAATAGATCATCTTTCTGTCTTAGTAGAATTGAAATCTTAATATTATTATTACTATTACCACCAAAGGTTCATGGATTTGTGCAAGACAACAAAACAGGGGAGAAGGTGGCAATGTTACTAGGAAAATGGGATGAAGCAATGTATTATGTATTGGGAGATCCAGCTACAAAACCAAAGGGATACGATCCAATGACCGATGCAATATTGTTATGGGAAAGGGATAAGACACTTACAAAAACGAGATATAATCTCACACCTTTTGCTATATCATTAAATGAATTGACACCTGGTTTGCGGGAGAAACTTCCACCAACTGATTCAAGGCTTAGACCAGATCAGCGACACTTGGAGAATGGGGAATATGAGCTGTCCAATTCAGAGAAGCTCAGGCTTGAGCAATTGCAGCGACGGGTATTGCCTTTTAGCTCTCATCTCCACGTTTTTTAGTGTTAGTCAGTTCGTTGCAAAAAAAAGGGGTCAGTTTGGATTAAAGGTTTTGGAGGGAAATGCTGTGTTTTTCTTGTTATTTACTCTGTATTTAGAATTTCATATTAAAAAAAAGACTGAAAGGTTGGCGTAATATGCGAGCATATGACACTACAATCACCTTTTTATGCATTTTTTGAGGAACTGGAAACAGACCCTAAGAACAACATTTAGCTCTTAAAACATTATAGGTTATGAACTCTTAGCTTGATAAACACCTTGGCAAACGATTTCACAGGCTAGGAAATTACAGGAGAGAGGTTGGGAACCAAGATGGTTCCGCAAAGACGGCGATGGGCATTACCAGTATGTTGGTGGATACTGGGAAGCAAGGGCAAAACAGGACTGGGGAGGCATCCCCGATATATTCGGGCAGACGGTCGATCTAACGTCCCCAGGTAATATAGACGAAGGAATGTAATGCTTGTTAAGGTTGGGGCCAAAGTTTGTTTATTAGGAATCAAAGTTTTACCTGTTCTGGCCACTGTGTGTTACTTTTTTCTTTTGCTTTTGGGTAGATAAATGATGTTGATTTGTGTTTTGAGGTGAATGAAGGAAAGGGCCAGAGCGTGTTCATTGTTATGTATGTATCAGGGGGCTTCTTTGTAAAGTGAAATACTGAGGTGAAAGTGAAAATGTTTATTTACTTATTGGGTTCACACTACATTTGTGATTTCTTCTATGACCAAAGGCGAAAGTGAACATTTATTTGCTTTTTCGGGTTCACTCTACATACGGAGTATGTGAGGACTACTGCAACTTGGAACTTGAAACCAAAAAAATTGGGAGTGTGTTAAATCTTTTTGTCCCAATTTAAAGTGTCTATTGTTATTTGTGGTGGCTGAGTGAAGTTGTTTTCAATTTACAAAGTAATTTATTACACACACACACACACATATATAAAATAAAACTTACATATTTAAAAATTATATTAAAAACTTAACAAAATAAGTGGTGATAGGAATATACTCCCTCTGTTCTACAAAACAGTTCATGTTCTGACTTTTACAGAATTTAGTTTTGTAGTTTGACTTTTCAATTAAATCATTAGCGTCGAAAAGAAAAAAAGTGACAAATCACTTAAATCACAAATTATATCAATACAAAATAGATGGAGTATATTGGAATGACTTTATTTGGACCAAGGTGAATAACTAGAGTACTCCTACCACAGTTATAAGGTAGCAAGAAGTTATTGAAGAAGGCATGCTTGATAAAACGATTAAACCCTTCACTCCCCAAAATAAAGAGAAGAGGTGACAGGGGATCTCCTTGTTTAACCCCCTCTCCATTTTAAAGAATCCATGAGTACTTCCATTAATAATAATATAAATTTTTGTTTCTTAGGGATTTGCCATGAGGAGGTTAGTCACTCTATGAGAAAAACCCATTTTAAATAAATCAATACTCAAGTATGCCCAACTAACCTTGTAAGATGCCTTAGCCAACTAATAGTATTTTAGAATTGGGAATTAAATATGAAAAATTACTTGTTATAAGAGGTCATTTATGCAAGTACTACTCAAATTTCTGCTTTATATATCACAATTCCTGTATTGTATGATAAATCATGTTTTTGCTTCTTTTCTCAAAGAGTTGGAAATTTCTTCCCAAACCAATAGAGTCAAACAGAGATTGGTATGCTAAAATGTGTTTAGATTTTATGACAATTTGACCATAGATTAAATGTTTATCATTTTTATGTTGAGAGCAGCGTTTGTTTGTATGTTCTATCATTAATTTATTTCATTAGTTGATGTCAACGAGAGTATTAGAGTTCTCGATCTAATTAATTGTTTTTTCAGAGACTAAATGTAAATCTAACTTACGGCCATTGATCATCCCCAAGCATGAGAAACACCCTACAAAAGAACAAAAAAAAAACATTATTGTGAATCACATAATACAAAGTAGCACTCCTTATTCTTTTACTCCCTCCATCCCCACTTTTTATCCACTTTCATTTTTACACATCATCCAATGCACTTCTTTAATCCATTTTATCTTGTAATTTGTATATTAAAAAATTATAAAAATTATATATTAACAATCTATATGTTTAGACAAATCAAACAAGATCACACATGACTATATTTAGGCTTACACATTGAGAGAATTTGATGAGTCAAAGTGCTTAGATGAACAGTTCCAAAAGTCAAAAGTGGACAAAAACTGGGAGACGGAGGGAGTAGGATTTAGTAGAAAGAAGAAAATTACCCTTCATAATAGACATTATTATTATTATATTATGAAAAAATATACTCGGAGTATTTAATAATTTAGTTGTAATGTCTATTTCGCTCATAATTGTTTTTCATGTAAGTCTAATCTCGATAAACTATATATGGATGGGAGAAAGACCAAAGTAGGACTAAAACATTGAAAATATACCAAAATAGGACTTCCATGTTTTTATTCCCGAAATAGGACTTACATTACCAAACATGGTCATATACATTACCAAAAAAGTATATTAATTTGCACATGTACACTGCCACATTACCACAATGCAAAGTCACATTACCACAGTGCAAAGTCCTATTCCGGGAAAAAAACATGAAAGTCCTATTTTGGTACTTTTCTCTATGTTTTAGTCCTATTTAAGATGATTTCTATATATGGATAGTCATCTTTTCACGAGACCTACCCAGCAATCCAATATATTTGTAAAATGTTTAGGGCCCAATTCAAAAAACGCAGCCCATTTGTTTTAATAAACTTCTGACGTGCAAACGGAGAGAGCAGGTGAGACGGAGAGAATCGGGGGAGGAGCGTGGAACTGCCGTGCCGAGGAGACGACTCCGGCGAGGAGTGAGGATCGAGATCCCTATTCCGGATTTTCAGCGATTCTCCAGGTGAGATTTATTTGCGATTCTCCAGGTGAGATTTATTTGATTTATCCAGAAACACGAAGCATCCACCCATTTGTTATGTAATGAATAACTAATTTAATGTAATTTATCTTCTGGTTTAGGGGTTGATTATGTGAATATGGAGTGTAGGGGTTATTATGTGATCAATAACTAATTGATCCGTAATTGTAGGGGTTATTATGTGAATGTGAGTACTAGTAAGAGGGCGTTTCTAAAAGGAGTTGTGGGTAGCGTCTAAGAGATAGGCTCTCGTAGTTTATTATACTTGTGTTGGTTTGTAAAAGCTGTGTTGGTTAGTTCTCTATTTATATTAACGAACAAGAATAATCCTGTACAGTTCACAACAAAAAATTTTCTTCTGTGTCTATCAATGAGTTTAAATTTTAGCCTAGACTTTTTTTTTTTGGTGTATTTCGTGTAAGGTTTCATAAAGCACATTCATGTAGTACCTGAGGTTAAATAGCAAATAGAAACTTCATATAGACCTTGCATGTGTGTAGACAATGAGTTTGCGAGTTAGATTGATTTTTTGCACAGATGAAAAGTATTGTTTTTTCCCTGACCAAATCTATTACTTTTCACACGTGTTTTCAATTCAATCTTTAGCCCAAAAATATATTATTGAATAAGTTACAGTCCAAATCCCATGTTTTATTATACTTCTACATGTTTTCAACTTTTAGTTCAGAGACATTTTCAAAATTTTACTATTAGAGAATTACATTCAAATACGCATTTTCCGTTTGAAAGAGTTTAATCGTGTGTAGTGTGAGAATAATTTACAGGCCTTACACAAGCTTTTTCCGTACCTAAAAACCCATTTCTCAAAGATAAGTTAGTTCTAATAATCTTATTCTTCAAAATGTAGATAGGTGATTTCAGTAACAACAAGAGGATGGCAAATCAATGGTCATATAATCTTTAATGCAAAACACAGGTAGTCTTCTCTAAAGAATTCTTAAAATACCTATGATATAAAAATTTAAGAAATTCAACATTACATTGGAGTCACTGCGTTCTGTTTTGATGTTAAGGTGATTGTATAGGCGAAATGGGGTCCTGCAAAACACACAATAATCTATAGTTGTATGAAAACAAAAAATGGTTTGGTTCAATCTATAGTGTGCATAGACTGAATTCATAATCGGGAACAACATTGAACTGAAATTGTAGCAATCCCCGATGAAATTCACCCAAATCACAAAGCATGATTTAGTTTATTAACAAATAATATAGGGATTGCAAAGACAACTACTATTAAAAAGCTTTGACCTTTCCGTAATCTCCTGATTGACCTCATTAAAATGATCCAAAAGATCTCTTCTAAGATCTTCCCTTGAGATGGGAGTAGTTTCCTCATCCACGGAATCTTGTATTTGGCAAAAATTAAACTTCTTACTATTCAGCCGCAAGTCTCATATTGATTGTTTATTAAATAAAAAAACATAGAGAAACCTTTTGAGTTCCAGCGACATCACTCTCAAGTCACTTTCAAGATCAATCTTTATGTTGATGCACTTAGCTTTGCAAGCAATAGATTCCTGAATATGAGTTTTGACAAACTGAGTTGTCAGGTTTTTAAGAACTCAAGGTTTTGAGAATGTAAAAAGTCAACACAATAGCCAAACATACGCATTCTAGAGTTAAGATATACGAATTACCTCGGAATTGTGGAAAATGCAATCCTGTTGGTAAACTTCAAAGTTGTTTCTAAACGATAGCATATCACAAGTTCTGATTAAGCAACGTTTTAATGCTAATAGAGAATTGCCATGATAAATATCTGCAATAGCGGATCACAGAGGTGCCATACTTTCAGGATTTCTGGCCTACGATCAGGAAGATCAAAAGACTTATTGCATGTAGTATATGGGACAGAGGCACTGAATTTAAGGGTAAAAAATCCTAATTCATATAACCCGGCATTGTGGAATACTTGGTGGCTAAAGCTTACAATGAAAGTGGGATGCTGCATTGTATTCATTGCATATGGAATATATAGTGAATAATGAATGGCTTTCATTATATCATCCCTGAAATTCATCTGTGCAATGTATTCAGCCATATAAACTGGGCCGCTGTTCTTTACTCTAGTACTGTGTCACTAAAGTGCCATGTAAATGTAGCTCCGATGATGGGCACCGGAGGTCTGCCTTCTTTAACAGCATTGGAATCGACAATATTTCACCCAAAACTTCCAATTTGGGGGGAAGGTCAGACGTCGGTGTCCAATTTAACCCAAAAATCATTGTGCTTCAATAGACTAATTGATTTGTGTGCAAAAACTGCTTGACGGTCTTTCCGGCCGGTTTATGTTTATTATTACATCTTTGAGTTTGGGTGAGGTCTTGTGGGCAAGTCTGCAACTCTGCGTTATCTCACCCTGATTTTTTTTTGAAGGAACTCTTCATTTTCTCACCCCCCACTGTGCTTCCTCACATTCTCGTCCATTTTCTGCATACGCTGCCGTTTCTTCTTGGAATAGGTGCCTTTCTTTGAACTTCTTGTTTGCTTTTGTGTACTTCACTTTCTCAATGCCGATTGTTGCTGGAATATCTTGTTTCATAACTTTTTTTCTTTGCTTGAATGTGTTTTAATTTTTTTTTTTTGTGAATTTGTTATTTTAGGTTAAATTGCTAAGGATAACAAAAGCATCATCTTGAAGGTAGAAAAAAGGTAAAGAAAATTTAGGCGCTTCTTGTCTTTCCCTTACATGGAGCTTTTTTCAAAAATTTGTAATTCATGGTTTAGCACTTGCATTTTGATCCCACTGTTGTGTATCTTTTATTTTATTTTATATGGTATGTCAGAAAGAACTCTTAAAAGTTATTTTATTTTGACATTCTTCTTAATTTTTTTCGACAGTTTTAAGTTTAACAATGTGGGAATACACATGGTTCTTCTTGGGTTAGATCCAACTTATAGTTCTTAACCTCTCTCAAATTTTCTTGAAGATGACTATTCAAGATTTGAATTTAGAAATGGCAAATGAGCCTATGCAAGTAAAAGAGAACTTCGTGGAGATTGGAAACAGGGCCCTGCTGGCAGCCAATGCTAGACGTAGATGGATTCTTGGGATTGATGCCAATGGGAGGTTTATCTGGGTTGATAGAATACTTCAGGTACTATAGTAGGCTAAATAAAAGTCAGGCATGTTCCCTCGATATGACTTTAGTTTATTTTCCAATTCGGAGAAACCAAAAAAAACTGCAATATTAAAGAAATCCGAAAAATAAGCAAATACTAGAGGCATGCAAGTTTTTTTAAATAAAAAAATATTTAATTAAGTAGAATTAGTGAAATGTTAAGGTTTATTTTTGATCTTGCAGGAGAATAATGGCCATGGTGGACATGGTAATGGGGTGGAGGGTGGACATGGTGGTGGTGGGGAGGAGGGGGGAAATGGGGCACATGGTGCACATGGTGGTGGTGGGGAGGAGGGGGGACATGGTGGTGGTGAGGAGGAGGTTGGACATGGTGGTGGTGGGGAGGAGGGTGGACATGGAAGAAAAGAAAAAAAGAAGATAAAAAGAGATAAAGTAAAACAAAAACTGTGGAATGATGAAATAGAGTATGCAAAATGGATTCTACACTAAAGTTTGAAGAGACATTTACGATTGTTGAGTGCTGATTGGATACTCAAAAGATAAAAGAAAAAAATGGAGAAGGGAGATAGTGGAATATGCATGCATTGATAGGATATGACAGTGTATTGATAAGAAGAATAGAAGGAACAAACCAGAGAAAGTTGTCAGAGTAGTCTTCACCCTTGGCGGGTGTCATAAAAATGCGTCCTTGCTTCCATAAATGTTTGTAGACGTGCCAGTGGCCTCACCAAGGGCCTCAATGTCTAACCACACTTGATCCTCGTCGAAATGTGCCGGAGCAGAAGACAATCAAAGAGAAGGTCAAGAAAAGCATCTATCCACACATCATCATCAACAGCATTTATAGCCACCCAATCTCTTGATATTCTTTGACACAGCGCGCTTCGGGACATTAGATTGTTTGCAGTTGGGAAGGAGAGGTACATAATCTTTATGAAAGACGCAACTGTGATGGCTAGACGAAAACTTGCGGTTTGAACTACAGCTCTGCATGCATTTTTCATCATCAACTTTGCATGCCTAATGGCAGCAGCCACTACTGCAGCGGTAGCGTCATCACCATCTTCATTGTCATCATCTTCATCCAATGCTGGACGTAGATGGATTCTTGGGATTGATGCCAATGGGAGGTTTATCTGGGTTGATAGAATACTTTAGGTACTATAGTAGGCTAAATAAAAGTCAGGCATGTTCCCTCGATATGACTGTAGTTTATTTTCCAATCGGGACAAAACAAAAAAAAGTACAATATTAAAGAAATCTAAAAAATAAGCAAATATTAGAGGCATGCAAGTTTTTTTAAGGTTTACTTGTGACCTTGCAGGATAATAATGGCCAATGTGGACATGGTAATGGGGCAGAGGGTGGACATGGTGGTGGTGGGGAGGAGGGGGGACATGGTGGTGGTGGGGAGGAGGGTGGACATGGGGCAAATGGTGGACATGGTGGCGGTGGGGAGTAGGGTGGACAAGGTGGTGGTGGGGTGAAGATGATGACAATGAAGATGGTGATGATGTTACCGCTGCAGTAGTGGCTGTTGCCATTAGGCATGCGAAGTTGATGATGAAAAATGCATGGAGAGCTGTAGTTCAAACCATAGGTTTTCGTCTAGCCATCACACTTTTGTGTCTTTCGTAAGGATTATGTACCTTTCCTTTCCAATTGTAAACAATTCAATGCCCCGAAGCGCGCTGCATCAAAAAATAGCAAGAGATTGGATGACTATAAATGTTGTTGATGATGATGTGTGGATGGATGCTTTTCTTGACCTTTTCTTTGTATTGTCTCCTGCTTCGGTACATTTTGACGAAGATCACTTGTGATTAGACATTGAGACCCTTGGTGAGGTAACCCTAGCACGTCTACAAACATTTATGGAAGCAAGGGCGCATTTTTATGACATTCGCCAAGGATGAAGACTACTCCGGCCACTTTCTCTGGTTTGTTCCTACTACTCCTCCTATCAATACTCTGTCATATACTCATATCCTATCAATGCATGCATGTTCCATTATCTCCCTTCTCCATTTTTTTCTTCTTGTTTTTATTCTTTTATCTTTTGAGTATCCAATCAACATTCAATAATCGTAAATGTCTCTTCAAACTTTAGTGTAGAATCAATTTTGCGTACTCTGTTTCATCATTCCACAGTTTTTGATTTACTTTATCTGTTTTATTTTTTTCTTTTCTTTCATTCTGAAATAGGGTTCTGGTTTAATGCCAACCAACATCACAAGGAGTCTTTGTTCACTTGTTCGGTGGTGTCTTTGTGGAGGGATGCATTTATTGTATTGACAATTTTGTGGTGAATGACAAGAGAAGATAATATGTTGTGGGAGACTGAAGTTACTTAGCATCTTTTTACCACTACTATTGTGAAATTCTGTTGATGGAATGGCAAATATCCCAATGCACCATTTTGTTCTGGTAGAGTTTTCTACAGGTTAATCTAACACATACACACACACACTCATTTATTTGCTCTTTACCCTCTTTCTAAATTTCATTCGGTCAAGCTTTATATTTGTTTCAAATAATTAAAAATGTTAATAGTTGTGTAAGGTTTCATAATTAGAAATCTTGTACTCCCTTCGTTCCTTAAAACAGTTTCTCTTTTATTTTTTTTATTTTCCCAAAAACACTTCCATTTTTGTAAAGAATGGCTAATATATCTAAATTAAGTTTTAACAATATACTCCATTCAATTTGCATTGATATAATAAGTCATTTAAATGATTTGTCTCTCTTTTTTGATTCGATAATAAGAGTATAATTAGAAGGTCAAATTATGAAATTAAATTTCTCCCAAGTCAAAACAGGAGCTGTTTTAGAGAATAGAGGGAGTAGAAGTTTGATACCTAAATCCCCACAAAATCTTTCGTGAGGAATACGCCACCAAACCTTATAAAATAAAAAGTTTAATTCAATTTTTAATTTTATTTAAAGTACTTCACGGTGCACCTTATATGCATTGGTACTAATATGTTACTCCCTCCGTCCCAAATTAGATTGCATGCTTACTATTTATAGGGTCAAACATCATCTATTTTTTTCTATTTTCTTTAATCATTTGATAAAATAAAATAGTCATGTTATTACTAATTTTGTATATCTTTTAATTTGTATTTTAATATGTAATTTTTATTTTTTAATTATATCATTTTTCTTATAAAATTATTCTAAAATAATTTCAGTCAAACACCATAAATTGAAACATGCAATGTAGATTGGGATGAGGGGAGCATTTTTTATTGAAATGCGCTGATGTGTGTGATTTGCAATTTTTTGTCTCCTTGACAATGTAATACAGTAAAAGAGTTGTGAAATGGCACAATATTTTTTTTCTTCAAAACGTCACTAATTATTTATATAACTCACTGTAACTTTTTTGTATTGCAATTTCTTTCTCAAAATATACTTTGAATTCTTTTTCGATAATCTAATACTCCGTATTATATTTCCACTAAAACAGAAAACAAAATTTATAAATCGTTATATTTTTATAAAAATGAGACAAATCTCTAACAAGAGCGTACTATTATATTTTTAAAAAGATTGTTTATAGATTTAAAATTAAAAAAAGAAAAAAAGTAAATTTGCATAAAATAATCCCACCTTTTATTTATTTGCAAAAAATAAGCATTTTCTAAAAGTTCTGTTAGGTGGTTGTTAGGTTTCTAACAAAGACCCAAAACTCACACACATGTGGAAAAATTGAATTTTTTCCGATGACAGTGAAAGAGGAATTATTTTTTAAAAATTGTGAAAAGGTGAAATTATTTAAGATAATTTTCCCTTGAAAATATTATATGAACATGAATTAGATTACAAAATGTCAATTTGAACTAGTACACTATATTAAACAATAATTAGAAAAAGAAATTGTTGGACAATGTGCTATCATGAATATATATTTTTGCAATGCCCTTTGCTCATTGTCTTTTAGGTTTTGATAATGACAAAAGGGTGACAAAACATCATCATCATATTTTGCATCAAGGCTAAGAATCAAAGCTACAAGAAGTTTATCTTCGTCCGTGAAGAAGGGACTTGAGCATCGGTGGAAGGAACGAGGCCGAAGAGGTTGTTTCCTTAGTTGGGTAGTGTTTTAGGTCTTAGATTATGTGTTAAAGAGTATGGCATATCTAAGGTTCATTCCCTTATCATCCTACCTTTAAAACGCATTTTTTTCAGCAAACTATTCGAATAAGTTGAAAACTATTTGGATAAATCCCTGAACTTCTATTCTGACTTAGTTGAATAAATCCAGAACTAGTTGAATAAGTTAGATTGCAGTTTCACCAAAACTAGTCGACTAAGTCTTGACTTGGTCGAATAGTTCGACAGTTTCAACTACCAAACGGCTAGTTTTTTGAATGTTTTTCATCCCTATCCATTCCCTAACTTCTTTAAACTACCCTATCTCCTGTTTTTGGCCAAGAATATACATTGAAAACACTTCAAAACATATCCTTTGAATATACAAAGAGATTCTACTCAATCCCCTCCTTATATCCAAGCAAGGCAATTGTTTTGATTGCTAAATCATTTCTTGCTTGAGTTTTTCCTCATTGCTTGAGTCTTTGAGAGATATTGCCATATTCTAAAGGACTTCATTGTATTTGCAACAATCTAGCTACTCCGTGTGGGGAGAATTACTCGGTTGCGGTTTGTTTTCTTACTTTATTGTAAGGGATTTGTATTCTTGGTGTTCGGATTACACCAGGTGGTAGAAATCCTAACGGTTTGTGAAATCAAACGTTAGGTGGAAGAAATCTTGAGTTTTGTGAAATCAAAACTTCGGTGGTAAGATAAGAAGCTTGTGAAATCAAGGTCTCAAGTTGTATTCGGATTGTCAAACTCCGTTAAGTTTGACGGGTTAGTGAAGGCCTGGGCACGATTGCTTCGGGGACTGGATGTAGGCATTTAGGCCGAACCAGTATATATCGTGTGTGCATTGCTCTTATCCTTCACTTTATTTTGTTTGTGGTGCATTGTTTTTATTGAATATTCATGAAGAACGTTTCCGCGCAAAAAAAACACGTCTTTTGGGCAACACCTCTATTCACCCCCACTCTAGAGGTGTGCGAGGCGTCTAACAGAAATAATCTCACGTTTACATGATTTGCAAAAATAATCTAATTTTTAATATTACGTGTAATAATATGATTTGATGCGTGTGTGTGAGTTTTGGGTCATCATTGGAGATGTAACGGTGGGTTTATGATTTTTTTTGAAAAAGGTTTATTTTGCGCCAAAAATGAAAGATGAGATTATTTGAGGTAAATTTTCGTTTTTAAGTCTTGGATGTTAAATAATGTTTCAAAAAATATAACAGTATAGTCTTTTAAAAGATTTGTGTCATTCCTTTGAAAACATATAGGCTCTCAACTCCTTTTGTAGTTTCATCTGAAGAAAAACATTGTAATGAATTATTGGAAAATTAATTTGTAATACCATTTTAAGAATAAAATATTGTGGTGAGTCGTCAAAAAATATTTAGTTTTGTTGGGGTATCCCTTCTACATGGAGAAAGGAGTTCTTAAATTATACATTTGGTGTTAAAAATGTAATTGGTTTAGAGTTGGTTATCATAATAATAATAATAATATTTATTATTATTATTATTTTTATAAAAGAAGGAATTTGTCAAAGTGGTGAAATCCATCATACTATTAGCAGTTAAATTTTGATGCATGATTTTTTTTTTAAAAAAAATCGTTGTTACATATAATTCATGAAAAAACGTAATGAAACTAATTTTGAGTTTTTTATGATAAAATTCGTGAGTATAAAATAATGACTTTCCCTATAGAACACAATTGCATAAAAATCATAAGTATAAAATTCATAGCCAACTACTCTTTGATTGTTTTTACACTTACCTAAATAAATTTCTACTTCTTCTAACTCAAAATATATATGTATGCAATGTAACCCTTCAATTTCTCTAAAATTGTTGTACCCCCCGAAGCTTTCCAAAAAAAAAGGATTTAAATTATACATTCACATGTTTTTTTATTTATATATAGATAAATTTTCATTGGAAAATGTTTATAGTATATCATTCTTTTAATTTTAGAGTTTGATACTCCGTATTATATTTTGTTTGATATTATATTTAGAGTATAATATTTGAAATCATTACCTATAGAAAAAAATAACAGAGTAAAAAACAATTTCGTTCAATCTCGTGCGTGGCACAAGTTAGAATACTAGAGTATACTACACTATATAATTTGGGAGTTCAGCTTCCAGAATTATGATATTTGGCATACAGACAAAATTTTAAACAACTCATCAACTGATTTTTTATAGTAAAATTTGCACTAAATAGAACTAAAACATAATGACTTTCCCAATGTAGGACTTATACTTTTTTATTCCCTAAATAGGACTTAATAATGACCTAGTGGGAAGAATAATGTCCAGTAATGATGGACATTTACTTGAATAATGACTACTTGTTATGACCAAAAATCTTACATTGGAAAATAAAAACATATGATCCTATATTGGGAAAGTCATTATGTTTTAGTTCTATTTAGGTAAATTTCTCTTTATAATAAGTCCAAAGTAAACCAACTAAAATTTATGGTAATTGAAGAGTTTTCAATACCTTTTTTTTTAAATATAAATAATCCTAAAAAAAGTTAAGGAGTAAAATAAATTAATGTATACGGAGTACATAAATATTTATTATGTTTATATTATTATATAAATATTCAATTACCTACTCCGTATATGTCAACATTGAGAGGAGGCTACAGTACCGCTACCCGGAGTATATAAACCTTTTAAAAAAAAAACTTGATTTCACCCTAATAAAGAAAGCAAGATTTAGGTTTCGTGCGTATATAGTTTCTCGGTTTCTCCCGGCAGCTCGTCCGTCCCCTGGAAGAACAAAAAATTCTGCCGGACACCGATCCATCAGTTAATTATGTTTCGCCAATTAGGTATATGATTCTTACTCCATCGCTGAATTTGGGTCACTGTATTTGATTGCATTTGTGGACTGTGTTGTTATGCTTGATGCGTGATTGAGTTAGCAGTTTTAAATTCAGAGCTGAGTTCTTGCAATAAGTGTTTTAAGTTCTGTAATCGAAATTCATTCGCTGTTGTCTTTGGGCCAGACATATTTCACATGATAAAAGTTTTGTCCTTTTCCCAGCATTCTTCTTTGCCTGCTAAGTGTTTGATTAATCTTAGACATTTGTTGTCTTATTTTTTGTGTTTCAGCATTCAAGTTTTTAATAATAACGTCCCCTTTTATGGTGAATATGCATTCAGTTTTGGCTGAATTAGAGATGATCTGGTTTTAAATTTGAATGTTTATCAAAAATTGATGGAGAGATTGTACGGAGTAATTTTATACTCCCTCCAAAATCTAAATTCGCAATTACTATTTAGGAGTCCATTTTTTTTCTTTATTTACTTAATTTCGTTGCCCATGTTTAAAATAAGATAGTATTGTCATCTCTTGTTTTATGCTTATATAAAGAATTTGATGTAATTTTTAAATACAAAAATTTTGTTCTAAAATTTTGCACCATTATTTAAATAAATTGAATTAAAAATGAATTCACTCAACTACTGTAATCCACACTATGAAGTTTCGGGACAGGGGGAGTATGTATCAAGCATTCTTTCTTCCATCCTGCTCTCAATTTTATTTATACTCTCTCTGTCCGGAATTATTCTTCCCATACACTATTTGCACGGTCAAACTTTATTCACTTTGTTTGATTATTTTCACTACTTATTTCATAATATAATACATCATGCCACCTCTTGTTTTGTAGGACTTTTTATCTATTTTTTAAATATGTAAATTTTATTTCTGATTTTTACACTTACAATCAAATAAAATGAATTGAAAACAAAGTCGGTCAAACCTCGCAATGTGTAACGGGATGAACAAACCCAAACAGAGGGAGTATGTATCATGCAATTGGAGCGTCAACAATTGCATGGACTTGTTTTTCTATGACCATTCATTCATTCCTCCTAGTGTGCTCCTGTTGAAATCAACTCAAGCATAATGCTATACTCCCAAAATTAACCCATCATTTTTTTTCCATGGATTGATAATCATTAACAATAATCTTTAATCTTTTTACTTTTTCATGGAAACTTGTTCTCAGTAAGGTGTGACCCGTTCAAGTGGAGAAACTGCCAGAAGCAGGCAGTAATGTGGAGGAAACACGATGCCAGATGTATTGGAACTTCTATTGCTTCATCTGGTTTTGAGAAGGATCCAAGTGTACCCCCTATTCAGAAACACTTTACACTGCCTGCTCTAAAACTTATTGATACATATGCGTTCTACAGCGTAGCCCCTGCTATGGGTCATAACAAGGTAAATGTTCTCATTTATTGTTTTCATATGGACTAACTGATATACCATTCAAAAGGCATTATATTCCATCTACAATGGAATGGCTATTTGATGTAGATGGAATATAATGCCTTCTTACTTTACTCATGGCGATACATGTGTGTGAATTTTTTGTGTTTTCATGTACTTTTTGCAATTTGTTACTCCCATTCCAACAGGAATCACATCCGGAATCCAATCTAAGAGTTCCTGCAATTTTAAGCGCCATCGAAAAGATGAAGCTCACTTCTAAGGTATTCAGAATCACATGCTATTATCATCATCATCATCATCATCAATGTGTTTACTTGATTTGACCACCAAGGTGCACGAGATGGCACTTCTTAATTGAAATTAATAAAATTATTTTTTTGCTATATTCAACTGTGGTTTTGATGCCACTCAACCTTTCTAGTGATGTTAAAGATAACTCACATGCAAAGAGAATTCTTCTTTCTCTATTTACTAGCTACTACGTCATTATATATTGTTTGTTACTTAATGTTCACGAGCTAATTAATGTCTCCAAAACATCCCCATAAACATTCTTCTGCACTTTATTTGCTCTTCCTTTCTTTCTCCCATACATTTACGCCTTCCAGCTTTAAATAGACATACTCAAACTTCAGCCTCAATAACAAGTTCTAATTAATAATTATGTTTTCTATATTTCAGTATCGTGGTGCAAACATAATTGATTTTGATGAATTCAAGCCTGCTTCTGTGGATGACATTACAAATGTTCATTCCAAAGCTTATGTTGCTGATCTCGAGCAGGTAAGGTATTATTGTTGTGGTAATTATATCCTCTCCTCTCATGCGTTGCATTGTATTTGGTGAAGGTAGTTGTAATTTGTGAGAGCCTAGGGTTTCAACAAGTCACACACAAAAAGAAAATTAATTTTAATTTATCAAAAAGAAAATTGTTCTATCATAGTACTCCCTCTGAGTCTAATATTTAAGATCTCATTTTAACTTATTAGGTTGACTATATTTTTACCATAAATCGTGAAAAAACATATATTTAGTTATAATATGAAATTAATATGATTAAGTTCATTTTAAGAAATAGTTTTAATATATCAAAAATTTATACTATTTCATTTGTGGTAAAAAATGTCACTATTTGACCAAAAAAGTCAAAATGAGACTTTATTTATTTACTGGACATTCAGATTAATAGTATTCAATTATTCACCATTTTGTCATATCACGTATGCAGCTTGACTGGTATATGTAATTAACTATTGTTTTTTCATTTACAATTCTATATTTAGTATTCTATTATTTTTTGTTACCGTATCCTTGCCGTCCCCCAAACCTATAATTTTTTAAATTGCCGTTTCCTGTCCCCGCACCCGTCCCAGTGCAACCTAGTAATTGTGGGCTTAAGAGATACCGAATATTAGCATGGATTTTAGTAAAATTGGGTTGTAAATTTAGGGCCACCGTTTCGTTTTTGGAGGGGCTCTAGCTGGGTCATCCTGTGTTGTATTTGTTTTTTCTTTTTATAAAAGTTTTGTTTCTCTCTCTCTCTCTCTCTCTCTCTATAGACACACACACACACACATGATTTGCTGAACAATTTTTGAAGTTGTGAAGGAGACCATGGCCTCAACAATGCACAGGGCTTTGGAGGCAAAGTATTGTAAGGATTTATAATTTTGCAATTGTTTTTTATTTACAGGCTATCAATAAGAATTCGGAAAAGGGCATCGTTCACATTGGTGAAACCGGACCAACATATGCTACCGCCAGTGTAAGTGTAAAGATGAATAAAATGATGCAGTATATCTTTCGATTTAACAAATACAATGCTTTCATTAGCTGATGGATATATAAAGCTGCATCTTGGATTTCAATATATCTTTTTCTTTTACCAAAAAACTTTTAATGAATGGAGGATTGTTTTTTGTTATAATGTCTTCAATTAGGCAATGACGCATCTTTTTTTTTTCTCTCCATATTTCCTGGTTCGATCATGATATTTGAATTATATATCTAAATTTGTTGATTGCCGCTGTTGAATTGTTCGGATTTGGTACTCCAATATGAAAAAATATGCTCTGTATTATATTCCTGATGAAGGTATTAATGATGCAGACATTCAATGATTCACTCTTGGCAGCTGGAGCAGGATTATCCCTGGTTGACTCAGTGGTGATGTCTCAATCTGTCACTTCTCAAATAGATTTGAAGTTGAACTATATACTAATTTGGATATAAGATGATCGATAGAGAACGTGCACTAATATAACATGAATCATATTGTTCTATCATTTCCAGGTTGCATCATTAAAATGGAGATAAAATCCTCCTGTTGGATTCGCTTTGATTAGACCTCCAGGGCATCATGCTACACCAACGGGTCCAATGGGCTCTTGTGTTTTTAATAATGTGGCCATTGCAGCACGCCATGCGCAACTAGTGCACGGATTGAAACGTGTGTTTATCATTGATTTTGATGCTCATCATGGGAATGGGACAAGTGATGCATTCTATGACGATCCAGATGTATTCTTCTTGTCCACTCATCAAGTAAGATATGTTCACCTCAAACCTACACACATTTTTATAAATGTTCACATGTATTTTGCGTGTTTTTTAAATGAACCTTAATTCTTTGTTTCGTCATTCGGAACATAAAATAATCAACACTCTCTATTACTAGGATGGAAGTTTTCCGGGCACGGGTCGCATTCACGAGGTAGGCCATGGAAGTGGTGAGGGCACAACACTAAATTTACCTCTGCCAGAAGGCTCAGGAGATCATGCCATGAGGAGTGTATTTGATGAGGTTATTGTGCCCTCTGCTCAGAGGTTCAACCCTGATATAATTCTTGTTTCTGCTGGGTAAGTAAATAGCTTCTTCCATCTGTGTTTGCATGTCCCAATGAATATGCTTCAAGAAGAAAGTTCCCTGGTTTGTTTTTCCATGTTTGTGCCCTTTCCTAGGGCAAGGTTCAAATGATGAAATGTTTGTGCCCTTTGTCATTCTATGTGCCCAGTTCTTAAAATTAATGGTTCCTACCCTTACCCCCTACAATTGGGGGGGTGCCCCAATGTCAATTGAACCAAACCGATGCGTATTTGCAATCTGTTAACGCATCTTTTTTCTTGCTTGGCGACAAAATGCATTCACATTTTTTTTTAAATCTCAGGTATGACGCTCATGTTCTTGACCCGGTAGCGAATCTGCAATTCACGACGGGAACATACCACTGGCTGGCGTCGAATATCAAACAGCTCGCCAAAGATCTGTGCGAGGGGCGCTGCGTCTTTTTCTTGGAGGGAGGGTACAACCTTGACTCTCTTTCACACTCGGTGGCCGACACTTTCAGAGGGTTTCTTGGAGAGGAAAGCAAGGCGAGCGAGTTTGACGACCCTGCGATCCTCGCCGCAGAACCATCCGCCAAGGTGAAGGAATTGATTCAGAGAGTTAAAAGCATTCATTCCCTCTGAATCATATCATCCTCATCAAATCCAGAGGGCATGCATTTGCCTTTTATTTAGAACATGATGAAATTTTGTAGGCTATTTAGATTGATATTGAACTCTTTTAGATTGTTAGGGTAAACACTCCGGTCACTATTCACATGGTCAAAATTTAATTACTTTCTTTACCTATTTCAGTTAGTTACAACCTTTCTTTCGTCTCTACGAGCTCGTTTGAGGATAATGTTAGAAATTAGTGCTAACATTTTTAAAATTTTAATTAATAGTAGCTTTTAAAGTTAATCTACACTATAAAATTTTATCCATTATGCTAATGCTACTTGGCTGCGACAGTCGTCCTCCGATTGGACTAGTTGAACTACTAGTTGGATCAGTAAATAAGTACCTTGATCGTTTCGGTCACTGGTCCAGTTCTAAAAATTACCGTAGTATGTTATTACCACTGCCCATATATAACTATTGGGCATGCTTGCACCCTCTAAAAATGTGTATTACTCCGACATATAACATGTCTTATATTGTGCTTTGAAGTATATTCCAACTACTTTTCGTTGGTTGTGTATTGTGAAACTACTTTTTCAAATTTTGGAGCAATTTAAAAAATTTCCAAATTCTGAAAAGTGTGAAATCTTATTCTACTCTTTATCAAATGCTTGGCCACACATGCAAAGCATAAAATCACCTCAACTTCCAATAGGCAAATGTAAGAGGCATATTCGCGATATATTTTTAGTCGACATTATTTATTTGGTTAGATATGTTTTTCATCTATAATAACGAATTTTGTTTTAGGTTAACCTAAATTTTGTTTTAGGTTAACCTAAATTCTCATTTACGCAAGTCTATAAAGAACACATAGTGTCTAGCTTTGCACGATAACATAAAGTATGATTCAAAAAAGGTGTTAATTAGGCAACTACTCCCTCCGTCCCAAAGTATTTGTCGACTTTCATTTTTACACATCATCCAATGCACTTCTTTGATCTATTTTATCTTGTAATTTATATATTAAAAAATTATAGAAATTATATATTAATAATCTATATGTTAAGACAAATCAAACAAGATCACACATGACTATATTTAAGCTTACACATCGAGAGAATTTGATGAGTCAAAGTGCTTAGATGAATAGTTCCAAAAGTCAAAAGTGGACGAATATAGCGGGACGGAGGTAGTATTTTATATCCATAACACAAAAAATTTAATTTACAAACAAAGAATGCGTGCACAAATCCTTAGCGGGTGCGGAGCATGGGGTTGAACACAAAGTATTACTCCCTCCGTCCGGAAATATTCTTCCCATTTTCCTTTTTAGTCCGTCCGGAAATATTCTTCCCATTTCCTTTTTTAGTATGCTTTTTAAGGCTATATATCAATTATACCCTTCTATTTTATCACAAATCTACTTTTTTAATACTTTTTTAATAATAAAAAGATATTTAAAAGTTTATGGTAAGTGCATTTTTGAAAATTTTGCATTTTTTTAAATATTCCTTAATAAGCGTGCCAAGTCAACACGGGAAGAAAATTTCCGGACGGAGGGAGTATAAATTTGGATGAAAATTTTTTATTGTATATTTGTTATATATGTATTTACAAATTAAAAATTGCCCATTTTGTATATTTGTATAAAGAAAACTAGCAACAACAATAACAATATTAATAATGTTCATATTTTTAATATTATTATGAAAAATACACATAAATATTTTTAAAATTATTGTTGAAAGAAATTAAAAAAAGTTAGATGAAATTAAAAGAGCCAAAAGAAACTTTAATAATTGAAGTTGGAAGGATTTAAAAGAATTAAATTAAAAACAACAAAGAAAAGTTAGAAGAAACAAGAACTTATTGGGAAGAAAAAGAAGAAATTGGAAAATATCAAAAGTTTATGGTGCACGTGTCATCATCTAACTTAATCAACTCTCAAATATTATATTAAAGGATTTGATGCAATTTCTAAATATGAGTATATAATTTTATTTTAAAAATCTTGTGCCAATGTTTAAATAAGTTAGATAGAAAATGAGTTTAATTAACTATTGTAATCCGTTTTGTGAATTTAGTTGGATAGAAAGAATATTAGGTATATGAAATTGCAGTTTATAGAGTATATAAAGCAAATGTGCTACTCTCTCCGTCCTAAAATATTCTTCACACTTACTTTTTACACGGTTAAATTTTAATATCTTTCTTTACATATTTTCATTAGATATTTGATAAAATAATATAGTTTTATCACTATTTATTTTGTAGAACTTTTGATGTAGTTTTTAAATATATATATATATATTTTTTTAATTTTACACATACAATCAAATAAACTGAATTAAAAATAAAATTGATCAAATCTCGTAAACACAAACGGGAAGAACATTATAGGAGAGAAGGAGCATTATTAATATTTGAACTAGTTATGGCTTATGGGACACTCTTGTTTTTTATTTGAGGGAGGGGCAATTTTGAAGAGATGGAAAGAAATTTGGCCCAAATTAAAATAAATGAAACTTTAAACAAATTAAATGAGTTGGGGAGAGACCTAGTTCGCACGATCCATTACGAGACATTGCCGCCTTCAATTTCGTTGCCGATCGGTCGCCGTCCCCTGGTCGTGCTCTCCGGCGGGTTCATCATCGGCGACTGGCAATCGGCATCTTTCTTCAGGTATCATCTTCTCTTCTCCGTTTCCCTTCTAATCTATAATCTGTATACTCCCTGTCTCTCAGCCTCTCTCTCTTTCCTTCTCTTTGTCTAAGTCTCTCCCTTTTCTCTTCCAATTGTGGGCTGCTTTGGCTATTTTAATTTGTAGGGTACTTGGTTATTGTGTGATTAGTTTAATTAAGTGTGGGTTATTTGAAATTGGCGTGCCGTGTAGTGGAAGAAATGTCTTTGTCCGGTTCAGCTTCAATTAATAATAATTCTGAAGTTGATGGTGATGGAAAGTTACCGTTGTGGAAATATTTCAAAGTATTGGACAAAGGAGCAGGAGGGAATAATAAGATCAAGTGTAATGTTATGGGTTTAATTTAATTAATAATAAGATAATTGATAGGTGTTGTGAATATTTCTGACATAAATACATGTATCTCACAATGAAATGAATAATACAAATTAAAAATGTATAAATAAATTTTGCTCACCCATTGCTGCACCTGCACTCTTTTTTTTGAAAATTTCCGCACCCGCGCATCAGTTGCCACACCCGCACCAGTTGCCGCACCCTCACCTGTTCTTCATAGGAAAAACCAGTAGAAAGATGTTATTTTCACATTTTAGATTTGTTTTTGCTCCTTTTTTTTGAATTTTGTTATTTGGTATGATATATTTTCGGTAGACTGATTTGGCTTGGTTTCTAAAATATGTGCGTCAGTTTTTAAAACAAGAAAAAAAAACAATGAGACTGGTAATTTAAAGCAAACACACAAACCCAATATATCCCACTTTAGAGAAGGTCTTGGGACAAGATGTAAGCATACCTTACCTCACTTTAAGGAGCGGAGGTGTTTGTTTTCAAAAGACCCACAATGAGACATGATCTGCAATGTGATGAGTGTAGAAAGTACACGCACACATATACAACACACGCAATCCCTGCATGGACTCTACAATCCTAAATTCCTAATATCCCACTTGAGAGTAGGTCTTGGGAAAAGATGCAAGCATACCATGAAACATAATCTGCAATGTGATGAGTGGAGAAAGTACACACAAATACACACACAGTCCCTGCTCCTAATATGCCATCTTGAGGATTCCTATCAAAGGTCATGTACTCAAAGAGGTTTAAGACTGCCAAGTCTAGAACTGATTAACATTTGGGTTTTGCTTTGATTCGGTCCAAACTTGAAAAGACCCACTTGAATTAGATTAACAGATTTTGATGTTTTACGGTCTAGGGAGTATTTAAGTTCTCTTTGCATAGGGTTTTTTCTCATCTTCAACGGTGTCAATCATTCTCATTCTGATGGAAGTCTTACTTGGAAGTTGATAAGAAGAGGGGAATCATAGCCGAAGAGTTTGGATCCGACTTTGCAGTTGTGAAGATTCTGGTGTTTTGGCAGCATGTTTGTGGCTTCACATATTCGCCACTTCAGCTTAACGACGGTGTCGTTGTCGCAGGCTCAGACGGGACCTCTTCGTCACTCCATTTCACTGCCAGCCTCCGTCCCCAACCTAATCGGCTCCTCATCTCCACCCTCTCGTGGCGTGCTTTTTTAAAATTTCTTGTGATTTTTACTGCATTGACTGATTGTACTATTATGTGGATAGTTGGATGTGTACACATTGTTAATAGTTTGAAAACAGTGACAATGGAGTTGTGATCAGGGGTTTGGTTGTCAAATTGCTCTTGAATTATAGCGGACATTTTTAACAAATCAAACATGCATTACATATTGCATTGATATTTGAATCAGATTGAAGTTCACAGTTTACATTTTTAGCCCCTTAATGCATTGCTACATCTATTACCCAAAACCTCATAGGATATAAGAAGCAATGGGATGCTTAATGTTCCAAATTGATTCAGCCCATTATTTATTAAGCTATAATATTGTAAAAAATGACTCTTTTACTGTTGGGAATGAATGCAGTTTTTTTCACAGCATTTTTGTATATAATCAGAGTTGATGGCGATAAAGCAGAAATCACGAGTTCAGAAGGAAGCAGAAGAGTTAAATGAAGAACAAAATACAGGAAAAGAGAGGCAAAATGTACAGTCATCAAAAGAAGAACAAGATAAGACCTTCGAAGAACTTGGTCTGGACCCTCGCCTTGTCCGTGCTTTAATCAAGAAAAACATCGACAAACCCACTCCCATCCAGCGTGAAGCTATCCCTCTCATTCTCGTACATCTTTCACCATTTCCATATCTTAGTTTTCTTTAGTTATTAGCTTCTTTCTCTATGTGCCTACTTGCTTTCAATTTGATGATTTTACAGGAAGGTAAAGATGTGATTGCTCGAGCAAAGACTGGTTCTGGAAAAACCTTCGCCTACCTCCTTCCTATGCTTCAGAAGCTCTTCTCCAATTTGTCTTCAAAGAAGAATTCAGCTCCATCGGCTTTCATCCTTGTCCCAACTCGTGAACTCTGCCAGCAGGTATGAACCACACATTCCAGTGTTTATAAGATTAATCTTTTGGTCATCTGGAGTTTTATTTTAAAATGTTGATAATCTTTGTATGTTACCACTACTGATTTTCAGGTTTACTTGGAGGCTACATCTTTAATTGAATTGTGTAAGGTGCAATTAAAAGCTGTTCAGTTGACAAGCACAATGTCCACATCTGACTTGGTGAGTTGAGTTCACTAGCATTCTTGCATGTAGTAGTCTGTATAGTTACTTGATACCAAAATAATAACAGATCTGACTTAATAAACTTTGGCTTGCAGAAAACTACTTTTGCCGGGTTTCCTGAAATTGTTGTATCTACACCAGCTTGCATTAAAACATGCTTTTCAAATCGGGTTCTTCTACCAGAAGCTCTGCAAGATTCCCTCTCGATTCTTGTACTTGATGAGGTGCGTTCAATTTTCAGCTCTACATATATGTTGTGAGAACTGAGAAGTTGCTAATTTCTAGTGAGGCAGACACACACACCATAGATAGTTTAATTGCACTTTGTCAATTGGCATTTGTGAATACTCATTGAATGTGCATGAGGAGGTTGATTTTTTGTTTTCTCTTCAGGCCGATCTTCTATTGTCATATGGTTATGAAGATGATCTAAGAGCTCTTACGTCTTACATCCCCAAGCGCTGCCAGTCCCTTCTCATGTCTGCTACTTCAAGGTCTGTCCTGCCATTTCATTTGGATGTTCTGCTTGTTCCCTTTTGAATTTCACTACATTTTAAGTTGTCATTTTCATTTTACTCTGTTATCAATATCAATAGATTGATAATAAACCAGTTTTCATGTCAATATTCAATGCAGTAATGATGTTGAAAAGCTGACATCACTGATGCTACATAATCCTAGCCACATACCGTCATCTGAAGTGAGTGATGCCAAGGATGATATAATTCCCAATAATGTTCAGCAATTTTATGTAAGAAGTTTTGTGCCTCCACATAGGTTTCCTGATTAAATATCATTTTGAGTGTGCACAAGTGTTCATTTTCATTTCTTTGTCCTGTGCTTAGATTTCTTGCAGTACCAGTGACAAGTTTGTGCATATCCTTGCCCTCTTAAAGCATGAGTTGATCCTGAAAAAAGCTCTCATATTTACAAATTCTATTGACATGAGCTTTAGACTGAAATTATTCTTTGAACAGGTACTTATCCATTCTTATAGTTTTTTGCATCTGGAGTTCTAGACATGCTCTAATCCAATGACATCAATAAAATTGTTGGGTTACTTACTTACTTCTAGCTACCTAATTTGCTATTTCCCCTCCAAGTGCTATGTTCCGGTGCATGCGATCCAATTCGCAGCTCTCGAGCTCCTGGAAAGCTCCGCAACATGTCATTGAGTGCTGGACTGAAAGTTGCTTTGCTTCATTAAAGACAGCATTATGCACACTCACACACACAACAAAAAATACTCAAAAGAATAGGAGTATAGGACTACTCACAAAATTTGAGGAAGACCAGTGAAGAGAACATGGCGACTCAAAAGAAGAAGACAACTTGCATAGAATACCGATAAAGAAGACAAAGGATGCATAAGTTTGGGTTTTTGCTCTTAAGTGAAGCAAATGATCTGGGATTTAATCTGTTCTGAGAACTCTTTTATTATTCTTTCCATAGCTGGGTTAAGGTTTGATTTTAGCTAACGATGAAGATGACTAAAGTAAAGCTCTTTTATGATGGTCCAGGATAACAAAATTGTGCTAAATTCCCACACATATATGCTATTTATGAAAAAAACTTTGCACTATTTGGGTTGAGAAGGCATTAGATAAGATTTGTGTTCGGGAATAAAATTAGGGGTTTAGCTTGAAGGAAACATGGCCGACAAAGCACGCCAATGACCTAGGCCCTCTGGTGTTGGATTGCTTAGGTGGTGGTGTCGTAGACTCTTGGTTGCAAACGAACAAAGCAGTTTTTGGTGCTGTAATTAGTTGTCAGATATTGGGGGTTTGGGGTATGGGTGTATATGTTTGGTGGGGGTCCACGAATGGGGTTAAGACTTAAGAGATTTTTTCTTTGTTATTCAACAAGTTTGAGTTTGGATTCCCCAAGTCCACACCTGTGTAAACCAAATGCCCCCTTCATGTTTTAGTTTTTGAGGATAAAAGTAATTTTTCTGAATAAAATTAGATTTAGGGGGGTGTATTCAATCAGGACTTTGATGGATTTTTTTGGATTTTGAAAATCTGTAGGTATTCAATTTAGATTTTAAAAAGTTATTTAAACTCTGAATGTATTCAATTCAGATTTTAAAAAATCTTTCAAAATCTATTGATATTCAAAATTTGATAGATTCTAAAAAATTGTAAAAAATATGGATTTTGATGGATTTTTATGTGTTGGGTATAAATACAAATTCACTCTCAAATCTCACCAAAAAAGTAAAGATTTTGACAACTCCAATTATCGTCTCCTTTGGTTCGCTATCTCTTCTTCATCATCTTCCAGTCGGACGTCTTCCTCATCTTCTTCTAGTCGCCATCTCCTCTGTACGTCCATTTTGTTTCTTTCAATTCCCCCGCTAAATTTTCTACTTTAATTGAAGACAATGTCAGCACAGTCAATTTCCCCCTAAATTGTTTACTTTATCACTGTGACTTCACTCAGTGATTGGACCTGAATTTGCTGAATCGACAAAGAATGAACTCGAGTTATTGTTCATCGCGGGAACTTGAATTCCAGATTCGATGCTACTCTTGCTGAATTCAAGGCCGATTGTTGAGGAATTATGAGCGACCTGGTATACGTCTTCTGATTCTGAAATTGGAGTTTCAATTACAGTTAAGGAAGGTAACAAACTGAGCACTGGATTTTTGGCCTTGAACAACTCTTGTTGGGTTGTTTCTCCTGTGATAACTTCATGAGGAAAAGAGGACGCCCTGCAATTGGCACTTGAGGGTTTTGTTGCTTCAAACTGGTGTAGTCAAACAAAGTTGGGGCTAGTTTTTAGTGATTAGGGTTAGGAGTTACTGATGCCAAGTTGGGGTTGTTCTAGCCAGCGTGATGGAGTTTTTCAACAAGAACAATGTATAGATTTTAAAAATAATTCATATTTATGTATAAATAATCAATGAATTATAAATAATCAAATAAAATCCTATAAAATCATGCTCATAAAATACATTAAAATATACTTAACTCTGCACAAACTTAAAACAATCTATGGATTTTACAAAATTCACGAATTCTAAATAATCTAAAAAAATCTATCAGAATCTTGATTGAATATACCCTCCTTAATATAAGCGTATCAAAGTAGTAAGGCTCATTTACTATGTTCCATGTTAGCCTACCAACTAAGCCTACCCCCTTAAGTACATAACAAAATTTACGCACACCAACCAGAGCACACATGTTTCTGTTCACTTATGATTTTCTCATCTCATATGGTAAGTTGAAACCATTTTTAGTTAGTCAACTATATTATTTTTAGAGTAATTGAATTCATACATTTTTTTGTGCTTCTTAAAACTTATTGACAGTTTGGGATCAAGGCTGCTGTTTTGAATGCTGAGCTTCCACAGAATTCACGCTTGCACATTCTCGAGGTATACCCCAAGTGGCGGTGATCTAGTAAAATCATGATTTTTTTATCACTTTTGGTACATTTTTTTTATCTTCATGGTCACTTTTGTTACTTTTTCTAAATTAGGAATTCAACGCTGGTCTTTTTGATTACTTGATTGCAACTGATGGCAGCAATTCAGAAGGAAAAGAGGCAATTGACGGCAGAAGCCCCAATGAGAATAAGAAATGTAAGAAGAATCAAAAGCAAAAAATTGATTCAGAATTTGGGGTTGTGAGAGGAATAGACTTCAAGAATGTGCGCACGGTGAGTCTTTTCAGTACTTCTCCTTATTCCAATCGTATTTAATAAATTTAGATATCGTTGATGCATTGATTTAGATACCCTTTTCTATCAGACCCTTGATGCATTGATGCATTTAGACCATCTTCGTTCGTACCCTATTTATCTAAATTTGCTCTACAACGTTACCTAATTCACAAACTCGATTTGGTTTTTCACTCTTTCTCCTCGCGTGAAACACATATATGCGTTGTTACTGTGTAGGTGCTGTAATTGTTTTTAGAATGCACTCAAATTGATTTTGTTTTATATACTCCCTCCGCTCCTCCGTCCACAATTGATTACCACGTTACTATTCTGGATTTTTGATAACTTTTATTTATGTGTGTTTTAATTGATTACCCGGAGTATTTGATAAAATATACTCCCTCCGTTCCCCATAGATCTTCTCATTAACCTTTTTTATTTGTCCACCATAGATCTTTCATTACCTTTTTTAACAATTAAAATACCACAACTACCCCCACTTACTTTTTTTATTACACCTCACCTACCTCATTTAATACACTCCACTCATTTTCATTAAGGGTATTATGGTAAACTTTCACCATTTTTCAACTTTCCTTAAAAACCACAAAAAGTCAAAACGAGAAGACCTTAGGGGGATGGAGGGAGTAATATTCTTGTCACCTATTGTTTTGTACAACTTTTGACGTAGTTTTTTAATATGTAAATTATATGTTGTGTTTCTATACCAATTTGTAAATAAAACAAATTTAAATGACTCGTGGTTTTGCATGAGGTGTGAAGTGTGTCAAACATGCAATGGAGGGAGTATGTATTTATCTTGTTTATAGTTTAATGCATTTTTAAATTTACAAAGTACAAAAATTAGAGAAAAAGGAAATGTATTATGGTTTGAGTTTGATGTATGGAGTTGTAGATGAATTATTGCATTTTAAGTTTATACGCACGGTGTTTTAGGTTTGAGTTTGGCGTGATGGATTGGAGATGCTCTTAGTGCCTAAAACTTTATAAAAACGGCATTCCTTATTTAGTTTTTGGCATTCCCTGCGACTATGCTGCCTCAAGAATACACTGGATCTCTAGTCCTGTGGATATCAGTGTCCTTATTACATCTCCCAAGTAACTATAAATCTAGCCTTCTACCCTTAGATGATATCCAACACACACCAAACTTGGCATGGATGTGATATTGTAATGGAATGGCTGGAGGATAAAATGCATACAACTGCCTTCCTTCCAACACCATATCAGTAAACCATTTTTTTGTTTTAAGGAATGATAAAGTATCGTGCCAAATGGGAAGGGGAAAGGGGTAGTTTAGTCATTTCCTCTCATTATCCTTTCCACTTTGGTTTTAGTTTCAAAATGAAATCTGACAAACACTCCGGAATGGAGGGAGAATGTATGTGTGAGTACACACACACACGCACATTGGATATAGTGGATCATATGCATTCTCATTTTTTTTCACTCTGCATCATTCTCATTTGAACCAAAGTGTGTGTGTGTGTATTCAACTTTACACTTTCCATTTTTGGATATATAAAAACCATTTTTCCGCTATTTCTTTTAGGCAGTATGTATGTGGATAGCTTTAATTCTTTTTCTTTCACATAAATTTCCTCAACACATTTTTTTCAATTTTCACCGAACACCTTTCAATTTTCACTACTTTTCTTAAACCCCGCAAAGTCAAAATGTGAAGTTGTTTTGGAGATGAAGGGAGTATATATGTATATTCATGTATTCATATCATTTCTATATTACAACAGAGAAAGTTTGTACCTCTGCGGAAATATTTACACTGTACTTCAACACTTAACAGGTAATAAATTTTGAGATGCCCCGAACAGCTGAAGGCTATGTTCACCGTATTGGACGTACAGGGAGAGCATACAATACTGGTGCATCTGTCTCCCTTGTAAGTATTTGAGGAGATATATGTAATGCAATCTCAAGCTTTATGGACTCTCGAATCCCCTTGCTTTTCTCATTAGCCTCAATTCAATTTATCAGTTTTAATAGCTACCATTTATTAGTCAAACATCTTTTCGATTCTTCAATTTTTAGACCTTTCAGTTCTCAAACAGGTTTCTCCAGAAGAAGCAGAAATGTTTCAAGAGGTCAGATCTTTATTAAGGGAAAATGATGACAACTCAAATTTTATTGCTCCCTTTCCATATCTCACTAAGGATGCAGTAGAGTCTTTGAGATATAGAGCTGAGGTAAGTGACTGTTCAATGTTCTTTATTCCTTGGCAAATCTAAGAGACTTTTATTGTGAAATTTCTTAAAAACCATCCAAATCCTCTAACCTGTGATAATTGTCCAAATGCTATAAATTTTGGTATTACTATTGATATCTTAAAAAATGGGAACATCACAGGATGTGGCGAGGAGTGTTACAAAACTTTCCGTAAAAGAAGCACGTGCTCAAGATCTGAGGAATGAGATTCTTAATTCTCAAAAGTTAGTTCTCTCTGGATTTGTTTTTTTCCTCTTTTACATTTTTTTCAAGGGATGCACAACCACAAACACATCACCACTCTTTTAGATACATGCTTTGTTTCCTTTTTTGTATAATCTACTCCAACAATTTTCTCCCCTTTGTTTTTATAAATTTGATTTTCTTTTCTAAAGTGATTACTTAGCACTCTAAATGTTTATGTAGTTACAGTTTCAGCACTTCCATTTGTTGGAACTTACTGGGGTGTTGTAGGTCAAATTTCATCACTTAGGCAGGTAGGTATATTGATTGAATAAAGCATTTGATTTCTATGTCATATTAGGTCTACAAACTTACAACGAAAGCAGACCTAATAAAATTTCACCTACTTGGAAAGTAGAGAGGTTGTTTTCAAGTCACCCTCTACTCAAAACACAAGCACAACAAAGGAAAGTAACATGAGCAAAGTAAGAGCGCAAACAAAAACAAGCACACTTGCAGAAATTACAAACTTGAGCTTGTTCTCTTCCACTTATTCTTATTACTTTGTATTTAATCTTATTGGAATCAGGTCAGATCTGAAACAACTTTAAATATAACTAGATCAAACCAAATTAAACCCGGCCTTAATAAAACTAGATCATATGAAGAGAACAAGCTCTTAGGCACGAAGCACACATGCAAAACTACAGAGTAAGGTTCAAAGGTTTACCCTACCACCCTAATCCCAGACCTCGAGCCGCTCCTCTGTAAGGCCTCATTAAAATCCTGAAGTTGTAAGTCCTGTGTATAATCACCTCTTTCCAAATTCCAACTCTTCTTAGGTTTGCCTCTACCACTCCTTACGCCTCTTACCTCAAGCCTCTCACATCTTCTCAATGGGCATCCATACTTCTCATCTGTTCGTGCCGAAACCATCTATCTAGCTTGCCGTAGCTTATTCCCCACAGAGAGTTAGAGACCACTCCCGTCTTCCGTGTCACCACGCGCACACCTTAGTATCTTCGTCTATGCCACTTGTAGCTTCTGAATGTGAGTGTTCTTCTCCGGCTCACCGCTTGACACCCTGCTCCATAAAAATAGCCGGCTTGATCATTGCCCGGTAAAACCGTAAAACTTCCCTTTCAGGTTTATCGATATCCTCTTGTTGCAAAGGACACCTAAAGCAAGTTTTTACTTTGTGACCTTTGTCCTAGCGGCTCCAATGCGATGAACAATATCTCCATCTAACTCCCCATTGTCGTGAATGATGGACAAACCAATGGAAGTAAAATTCTCCTTTGTTAAATCATGTACTTCCTCTAGCCCAATTTCTTGTTCTTGTGTCTTTCATGGATCGTTTCAATTTATTCTGCATGTTTCTATTTATAGAAGGCATTACATGGTCCATATGATTTCTTTCCCTACATAAACCTCAACCACACAGTTTTCACTTCATTAATCTCGGTGTGTAGCCAAAGTGGTCACAACATATTGGGACGGAGATGGTGTTTAATTTATTCATTTGACCTCCTTTTCCAAACAACTAACATACTAGTAAATTCATAACGCAAATGTCACTGAAATCCTTCAACCAAACAAGGTGTCGTTTGGTTCCTCCACTTACCTGTCATGACTGCTATTCTGCTAGGCAGTAGTTAATTATTATGGAATGAAAAACAACAATTAGTGAAGTCACAGAAGTGGAGTATACCCCTACATTCATATCAAGGCTGCTTTTGAAAAGCCCTTGGCTTCAATTTGTGCAATGAGAAAGTTGAAAAATGAACATATATTTTAATACCTTTAATCTAAATGACCCTTCCCTGGAAATACGGAAAACACAAAACTCCATATTTTGAATTTCTAGATGAACTAGCAATAAACTTGTATAATTTTTAGAGGGCAGGTATATGATACAACCCTATAAGCATTGGAATTGGAAATAGACCCAACAAAATCAAAATGACTGGCTAAAAATGGATCAAAATGGGTCAAACCGATTTAATATGTTATACTCCGTATTTTTTTAGTGCAAAATGCAAGTCCTAGTGTGAAATTAAATATTCTAAAAATAAATCTCATAACTCGTTGGGTTGACTCGAACCTGATGACACGACACTGGGTCATGAACATTTAGTTCTCAACCTGGACTTGAATTTACCTGAACCTGATGTAACCCGAACCCAGAGTGATCAGACCCCCCAAACTGACTGACCGATTTGCCATCTCTATTTGGAATTATAGTAAGGCAGTGATTGAATAGCAAGGAATATTATTGCTTGTCTTTTTTAAATTTGTGTGTGTCAAGTCTTCCCTTAATACCTAACACCATCATATGTAGGACCAAATATGCTTTACAAAGTGATGATAAAACAAGAAAGATGTGCTTATAAGTCTAAAGCGACGTCCAAGTATCCATGGTGATTACACTTAAAATTGCACATATAAAGCAAACAAGACATTGTCGAAGTACATTTTGATGGTTAATGAGTTACATAGAGGACTTAGTTAATGATAGAGCATTCTTCTCTTAGTTCTGAAGCACATGAGTTGCCATGTTAAACCTCCTTTGTGGTTCTTTTGTCCTATTTTGGATATTTGGAGGGACAGTGGGTGGGGGGAAGAAGGGGTGAATGTTGGTGTGCCAACCACTTGAGCATTTTAATTCTCCCATTTTATATTCATGATCAATCTGCATTTTGTTGTCTCTTAGTTGAACATCTGTGTTGCTCATGTGTACCATTTAATTTATTTGGCTGTGCTAATTCTGTCCAGGTTGAAAGCCCATTTTCAAGAGAATCCTCAAGACCTGGGTATGAATATTTCACTCTACAGTTAGTTGGCATTTACTGAACTTGTAATGATTTTGCTCACACTTACTTTTTTTAACATGTCAAGATCTTTTGAAACATGACAAAACCCTCAGTAAGAAGGCCCCTGCTCCTCACCTGCGTGATGTGCCTGAATATCTAATTGACCCAACAACGCATGAAGCTAGCAAGATTGTAAAACTTGCTAGAGCTGCAATGGGGAATGATAGTGCTCCCCGCCGCAAAGGCTTTAATGGTAAATTTAGAAAGTCAAGAGACCCTCTAAGAACATTCTCTGCAGAGGTATTGTTACAAACTCTTATTAACTTTTTTTTGTCCTCTCCTCTCATTATTGCTAGAAATGCTAACCCAAGGAAAAAAGGCTTGTTATTTTTAATTACTATTCCCTCTATCCCATTCAAGGAGTCCATTTTGATGAGTTAACAATTTTTTACTTTTAACAAGGTACAACTCTTAAAAAACACTCTAGTCTAAAACTATCTACTCCATATTTTAAACAAGTTGAGGTGGTCTGAACATGTCACTGCATCTCTATATCTTACAGCCTTCTTATGTTAGTGTTAGTTGTTTATGTCAGCTGTTTGGCTATTTGTTGCAAAGAGTTCAAAAACAAGTTTGTTGTAAACCAAACTCGACCTGGCACGAGGATTAAGAAAAATGTAATTGTATGGTTGAAAGTGATACAGAGGAGAAAAAGTATTGAAGTTCTTGGCTAACCATCCATGTAATCTCTCCGTTTTTTTAATATCTCAGGGACGAAAACGAGCTTCAAAAGGCGGGATGAAGAGAAAGCAGAAAGATACAGATTCGGGGCGTAAAGGCAAGAAAAGAAAAGGAGATTGATGATTTGTACTGTTTTTTTTGGCAAATGATTGTTATTACTCCCTCCGTCTTAAAACTTTCTTCCCAGAGTACTATTCCAACTTCACGGGAATTTATATTTATTTGTGTTTTTTCATGGCTTATATGATAAAATAAAATATTCTTGTCACCACTTGTTTTGTTGAACTTTTGATGTAGTTTTTAAATATGTATGTTTTATTTTTTATTTCTATACCAATATTTAAATATAATAGATTGAAAAAACTTGGGATTTTTTTTCGTTTTGCGTAACGGGAAGAAAGATATAGGACGGAGGGAGTACTTCACACAAGAGAATTTTGTAATTTGATAAATAGGTTTATCAGATCATATATTCACAACAATTTTAGAGTGCTTAGGTAGGTTGTACTTTTTTTTCCCATTGGGGTGTGTTTGGATCTAAAATGTTGGGGAAACAAAAATGCCAACGAAAACTACGTATATTTTCTTACGTTTTACTCTCCATTCTAATTTAAGGGCATCTTTGGTAATAACATTAGAGATTAGCATTGGCATTTTTGGATAAAATTTCAACGGTGTAGATTATTTTGAAAATGCTAACGCTAAACGTTGTTGGTATATAACCTTTTTAAAATGCTAACATTAATCTAATGCTATTCTCAAACAAGCCCTAAGTCATGTTTATTATTTACATGTTCAAAATTTTACTATATTGGCTATTTTTGTCAATAATATACGCATATTATTTCTTTGTTTGTAGATTTTTTGGTGTAATTTTAAATGTATAATTTTAATTTTAATACAATAAGTTTTAAATAAATTGAATTAAGAAACTGTAACGTGCAATTTAGATTGGAATTGGGGAAGTAGTTAGCAAATTTATTTTTTCTTGAGGTCAAGTGGAGGGAAGGGCAAGAGGAAAAATCTTAGCCAAGACTCATGTCGGTCATGCGGTTACGTCACCCCATGGAAGCAAAAGGGAGGGATTATAAAAGATTTTTAGAGAAAAAAACACGAGATGGTTTTCAAAAATAAAAAATAAAAAAAGAATACGAGATGGTTTGACTGTTTGAGCTTTAGTTGAAGGGTTAAAATGTGCAGAAAATTACTCTTCATTTTTTGTAAGAATTCTCATGTTTCACAATTCACATTATTCGAAATATATACTAGGGATTTTTAAAATTAGTAATAGAGGGTACATTCTACGAGTATTTATTTGGCCGTTAGGATTAAAAATTCTGGTACTTTGACAAATACTAAACATTACATTGGTAATTGGATGAGGTTCACATGACATTGGGTTCCAATGTCATGGGAATGACATTGGGTTCCAATGTCATGGGAACCTTGGTGTTGATAATTATTATTTTATTACATTTAAATTAAAATTTTCAATTTGTCAAAGCAAAGGAATTTTTAATTCGTAGCGCCTAAATAAACGGGATGTACCATTGGAGTATAATATCACAAACTTTAATAATTCTGTACTATACTGTAGAATGTGGGACTTGAGAGTTATTACTAGAAAATTGAGAGTACCCAAAGTATATTTTAGATAATATAGGACTTCTTATTACTAGAAAACCGAGGATACCCGAAAGTAATTTTCTATAAAACAGGCTTTAGATTCTTGCAGCAAATAGGCTTTATAGATTAACACCTAAGAGTACGTTTGGTGATTTTTGGAGATATAATAGGAGTTTTGAAAATATAAAATGCTGTTTAGAGATATTCAAAATCATAATTTAAAGAGTGATATATGGGGTGACTGACAATGAGGGTGTTTGGCGGTGTAGTGGTAGTTGGTGACGGAGGGTGATCCACAATAGATGGAAATATTAATTTGTATTTTGTTGAATGTAGTGTGTTATCAACGATACGAAATTATCACTAAAAATCACTGTTCATAATCTCTCTATGTTTTGTTAAATATATTGTGTTAGAGTCATACTCCTTCCGTCTCGTTTTAAATTGCCTGTTTTTACTTTTGAACATATTTAAGGAAAAGAAAAATTAGAGTTGATTTTCTGAAATTGCTATTACTTTTTAGGAGGGGTGACGATGAATGAGAAGATAAGGCGGAAAAGAGTGACTTATTTTAGGGGTAGTTTAGGTATTTCACTTTTAAAAGTTTACGATAACAAGTAACATGCAACTTATTTTGGGACGAAGAAGGCAAACATGCAATTTAAAATGAGACAGAGGGAGTATAGATTATCACGTGTCTTGAATTGTTAGAGCCACAAATAAAAATATCACAAAACTCACAAGTTTACTATTTGAAGACCTCATTAAAAGAATAAAATGATTTCAAACGTTTTAAATTTAAATATTTATATGTCTACCAAGACATGGGGTGAGACTGAGAGTTACTTCCTCGATTCGAATTGATCTTCTCATTCAACTTTTTACGATATATATATTGTACTCCCTCCGTCCTATATCTTTCTTCCCGATTCGCAAAACGAAGAAAAATTCCAAATTTTTTCAATCTATTTTATTTAAATATTGGTATAGAAATAAAAAATAAAACATACATATTTAAAAACTACATCAAAAGTTCAACAAAACAAGTGGTGACAAGAATATTTTATTTTATCATATAGCCATGAAAAAACACAAATAAATATAAATTCCCGTGAAGTTGGAATAGTGCTGTGGGAAGAAAGTTTTAGGACGGATGGAGTAGTATTTTGACTATTAATATTTATATTTGAGTAAATTCCATAAAAGGTCCCCAGTTATAGGTCGTTTTACATAATTAGTCCCTACATATCAAATATTACTAATTTGGTCCCCAATTATTATATTTATTTCTACGAATGTTCCTTTGTTAACATTTTCATTAAAACGTGGATAAAATTATAAATTCACACTCCTTTCTCTCCTCAATTAAGCTTTCTCCTCCCTTGTACTCATTTCTCAAACCCGTCGCTGAGTTTCTAGCATTGAACCCTAAACCAAAATCATCACTCTTCTCTCAATTGTTTGTCTAACTGGAGGAACGATCATTTAAATTTTGGGTTTAAGAGCTTCAAACTCAGCGACGAGTTTGGGAAAGAGTATGAGAAGATGAAGAAAGCTTAATTGAGGAGATAGAGAAGTATGAATATACAATTTTATCCACGTTCTTAACGGAAATGTTAACAAAGGACCATTCGTGGAAATGAATATAATAATTGGGGACTAAATTAGTAATATTTGATATGTAGGGACTAAATATGTAAAACGACATATAACTGTGGACCTTTTATATAATTTATTCTTTATATTTATACATGAATATATTTAATGAAAAAAGGAACAGGGAAGGGGTAAAAAACACAATAGTGACACATGAATCATTGTTTGTTTTTTGAAGGCACCCATGATTCATTGTTCTTTGATTCTTTTACCTAAAAAATGGGAGTTAATTAGTGCACAAATTTCCGTGTGCTTGAAACTCGTGTTAACGCAAAGTGGTACAATAAGCAGTGGCAGAAAGAGAAACATCATCATCATCATCATCATCATCATCATCCCTCTCCGGTTCAACTCAATCCATCCCTCCCTCACCTGGGAGAAAAATAAAGACCACGATAATAATACACACCCCCACACACACAATTCTTCCCATCATTCATCTTTCATGGAGTATTTAACTTTCTCTCCCTCTCTCAACCTTCTTCTCCTCCAAGTCCCAAATTTTACGTTGACCCTTTGATCCGAGTGATACACACCTTGTGCTGATCATATAAAATCGCAGATAATATTTGGCGGAATTCCCAAACAAACGCGCTAGATGTCTTCTTTCTTTTGAGACTCATCGCAGGCATGGGTTTTGAGGAATCTCGGGGGTCTCTGTTTAAAATGTATAAAAAACAATTGTCCCTTTGAAATTCTGTTTCTTGGATCTGTGATGATCGCAATGCATAGAATCATTAGATGGATACCCATGTTTTATTTTTGGGTTTTAATGTGTGTTCTCTTGTTTTTTTTGTGTGTGGATTACTTGATGATGATGAATTGATGATGTTTTTGAACTGTGGATCGCCAAAGATCAAATTTTTATTTGTGATGGTGGATTCATTTCTGGCATGGTTTGTGTGTGCTTTTCAGTGTTTCATGAGTACTAAACCATAGACTTGGAAATTCCTTTCTTTTCTGGGTGTAAAATATTTGGAAAGATTGGTATTCTTCACGCACCGGTTTTACTTGCCTTTTATGCATCTATAACCTCCTCAGATGGGTTTCTTGTCTGAGCTGTGTTTATGCTGCCTGCTTTTGAATATATGATAGTTAAGAGATGTTATTTATCGAGTTTTACATCGTTTGATCGGATTGATTGATCACTTATTGGGTATCAATTTAGTAGTGTTAGAGGGCATTGTTTTGATTTTCGGTTGTCTAGCATTGTATGATCAGTTGATTTGTTGTGAGTAGACTGAACTGAGATGTATTTTTGGTGATTATGGTTTACTGTTCTTGACTTCTTGTAGGTTTGAAGCTGCAGTTGATAAATTCTATCAACTCTTACTAGTATGAGGTAATAAGTTGCATTTGAATGATGATATGGACAGTGTTTTTTCCGGTCTTTCAAACTCGTTCTGCTATTCAGGTAGCAGAAATTAGAAGGTCCAGTTGTTGCGTCCTGGTGGAATTCTTAGAAGCGATTCTTGAGGTTATAATTGAGATTTTGAAAGCTGATTCTGATTATCAGTTCCCATGGATGCCGCCGCGGGGGGGACCCCAAGTGTTCAATATTGTAACATTTCCGAGCAGCCGATTGCTTCTCTTGTCACCTCCCACGCCCCACCATTTCCAAAGAAACAAAGGCACTGTTTCGGAAGCACTTGTCCCGGGGAGTTCCCATTGTCTGCAAATCCCTCCATTGTCCTTCATGTCCTCACCGGGTGTAACCTGGACCCACAAGACCTCGCGGCACTAGAGGCAAGTTCTTTCTTTTCCATTCATTGCAATCCAAGGCTCGCCATACTTGTCTTTTGGAATTGATATTTCTGCTGATTTGAGTTTATTATGATGTGGGTTTCGCAGGCCACTTGCTCTTTCTTCAGGCAACCCGCGCATTTCCCCCCTGATTTTGAGCTCTCTTTGGCTGAGCTGGCAGCTCTAGACATGTGCCATAAGAGAGCTATATTTAAACCCATGACAGAAGAGGAGAGGGGAGAGTTAAAGCGAAGGTGTGGGGGATCTTGGAAACTTGTCCTAAGATATTTGCTGGCTGGGGAGACATGTTCACGGCGAGAGTCTTCACAAGCAGTAGCGGGTCCCGGCCATAGTATTGCCGTGACTTCCAAAGGAGCTGTGTATGCGTTCGGCTCTAATAGCTCTGGACAGCTTGGACGCGGAACAACCGAGGAAGAGTGCAGGCCCCACATCATTAGGTTCAAATGAATTATGGAGTATTTTTTTTTTTTTGTAGCCTTGTTGTAATCAATCAACCAGGCAGACCAGAGTAGCTAAATAAATGCTAGCAAAAATGCTAGAATAACACCAACTTTGACACCACAGATGACAACTAGATTTGTACGCACACAGGTATAATCGTCTGTGGACTCTGTGTGCAGATCTCTGCAAGGGGTACGCATCATTCAAGCAGCAGTGGGATCGGGGCGGACGATGCTAATAAGTGATGCCGGGAGGGTTTATGCTTTTGGGAAGGACCTGTTTGGCGAATCTGATTACGGTGTTGGAGGGAATAAAACAGTGGCTACCCCACAGTTGGTAGAGTCTTTGAAAGGCATCTTTGTTGTACAAGCCGCGATCGGAAACTTCTTCACGGCTGTGTTGTCTAGGGAAGGGCAGGTTTACACATTTTGTTGGGGGAAGGAAAGTAGACTCGGTCACCAAACGGAGGCTACTGATTTGGAGCCTCGCCCGTTGCTTGGGGCACTTGAAAATGTACCGGTGGTGCAGATTGCAGCAGGATATTGCTACCTCCTTGCTTTGGCTTGTCAACCTAGTGGTGCCATGTGAGCTCTCTTTTTTTATGACTATTATGCACTTTAGGTTTCATTTAGGATCATCAACATTTGAGATTAGAGTTAGCGTTTCGAATAACTTTTTCAATGTGAAAATTGAATTTGAAAATGTTAAAGCTAGTGCCAAAGGAAGCCTTAGATTGATGATCTAATGCTTCTATCGGTGACCGGAAAGCACCCACAAGTGGGAAAAAATATTAGTAAGGAATAACATAAAGTGGAAGTAACATAAGAGTCGTGAAAAAAAAGGAATCAAAGCATCCAAACTTTTTAAATCGTTTCTCTAAGGAATTACACCACATATTAGTAAGGAGTAGCTTTTTAATATTTTCTTGAACACGAATGCTCCCTCCGTTCCTAAATAACTGTCCATTATGACTTCCTAGATACATTAAAAATCAAGTGAATGTAAACATCATGTTTGTCTTTGTCCACATTCATATAAAAATATAATGTAACTAAAAAGTCATAATACCCCATTATTCAGGAATGGAGGGGGTAGACATTTACTAAAAAGCTTATGGAATATGGTGATTTGTTAGGTCTGTATACTCTGTTGGTTGTGGTTTGGGTGGAAAGCTTGGTCACGGCACGCGGTCAGATGAAAAGGTCCCAAGGTTGATTGAAAAGTTCCAAACTTTGAATCTTCAACCGGTTGTAGTTGCAGCCGGGGCATGGCATGCAGCTGTGGTGGGGAGAGATGGGAGGGTGTGCACTTGGGGTTGGGGCCGTTACGGGTGTTTGGGTCATGGGAATGAGGACTGTGAAACGGCTCCTAAGGTTGTGGAAGCCCTCAGTCACATTAAAGCGGTCCATGTTGCCACGGGGGACTACACTACATTTGTGGTTTCTGATGATGGGAGTGTCTATTCGTTTGGTTGTGGAGAATCGTCTAGTCTTGGACACAATGCCGTTGCAGCCGAGGGGCAGGTCTGTCTTTTACCGTTTTCTAATGTTCGTGCTTTTTTTTAATCTGGGTGTTGCTATCCGTTCCGTTTATGGTTAAATGGACAATTTTGCCCTTGAAACACAGAGAAGGATATTAGATGCTATAGCTAATTTCTAAGGACAAATTTGTCCATTTAACAGAAAGGGAGTGGACTCGGTCATAATGGGGTGGATATAGCAACACCCTATTTTTCTCTCGTAACGTGATATTTTCGTATTTGACCATTTGATATGGCTGAATTTTCTCGGATTATTATGCGAGCTAAATTAGTGAATTAGCACTGAACAATAAGTTTAAATGTTGATGACCAAGAGAATTTAGGACAAAAACTTTAAATGTTGATGGCTAGGAGTCTTTAGCTCATTTTTGTTCAAACAGTTTTGTAACTTGAGTGTCATTTTGCTCGAATTTCGACCCTCAAGGAAATGTTCTTGTTTGGTACAAAAAGGGTTTTCATAGATTTATTTTTGTAAAAAACTTTCAAAAAATATTTCATTGTATTAACATGCAATGAAATTTTAATTGAATGGATAATCAACGCTCGTCCAGTTTGACTGAAATAAGTAAAAAGTTAAAAGTCCAATGGGACGAAGGTAGTAGAATGACAGAAATATTAAACTTTTCATTATGACGACTAGTTTGCCCTTCAAAGTACGTTTGAGTCGGGGGGTTTCTTGGAAACAACCTCTGTATTGTCTGGATTATAATTGAACTAACTCTGAATCACAGGAAAATAGACACTCAAACATCTTAAGCCCAGAGCTAGTGACATCACTGAAACAGGTGAAGGAGAGGGTTGTACAGATAAGTCTGACCAATTCCATATATTGGAATGCCCACACATTTGCCCTAACTGAATCGGGCAAGCTTTACGCCTTTGGGGCAGGCGATAAAGGGCAGCTCGGGGTTGCCCTCCCTTCAGACCAAACTGAAAGGGCAAATCCCGAACGTGTCCAAATTGATCTCAGTTAGCCATTGGAATCTTTTCTCATTATATTGTTTTTAGTTTGTGCAGTTTGTCTCTCTGTAAATTTCTCATGTCTATCTTGTAAATATTCAAACAAAACAAAAAAAAACAGGATATTTATTGTGAATAAGCTAGGTTTTAAGATTTGGAAATTAACCTTTGAAAAAAAAGGTTTGGTTATTTCATCCAACAGCAGTAAAATGTTTGATACATATTTTTTCTGGTTTTTTAAGTTTTCTTTACTATCAATGGCTTATTCAAATGTTTGGTTGAAATATTTGAATGCTATAGTTTTTGGTTGGGAACCAGTGTGTCTATTCAGGGTAAATGCTTGAATGTTTAAGACCAAAACATTCAAATGTTTCATGAATTTAGAAGCTCTAAAATTTAACATTCGAATGTTAGATTTCGAACATTGGAAGATGCGTAGCCCACATTCCAATGTTTCATTCCACATTCCAATCTTACATCCATTTTTCAGAATGGAATAATGACATGTTTGAGAATAAAATTTGAAATCTGGATTTTGATTTGAGATAAATTCTTTTATGGTATGTTTGACAACATGGATTTGGATTTCAAATCCGGATTTGGCTTAAATTCCATGTTTGGGAAACTTACAAATTTTGAATTTAGATTTGAATCAAATTATTCTCATTAATAACAAAGTTTAATTTTAAATCCATGCACCTCTCCTTGTGATTTGAAATTCAAGATTTCAAATTTTGGAATTGAAATACATGAATTGAAATGAAATCATAGTTGTCAAACACTACCTTAAGGTTCTGTTAATTTGAGCGTTACTTTTAATTATTACTTATTTTCTAACTCATTCAAATTTCTTCCAATTTTATTTAGTTTTTTTTCAATTATTTCTAGTTTCTTTTCAATTCTCTTTTTCAATTCTTTTTAGTTTTTTCTAGTTCCTTACAATTTTTCATCAATAAGTTTCTTCTAATTTCTTCTTAATTTTTTCAACCATATCTTTAAGAAATTATTTATGTATATTATTATTATTATCACTACTACTACTACTACTACTACTATTATGGCCTAGTTTCGTGGCCACTGGATTCCAGTAGCTACGGAAGCCACAGTCTTCCTACGCACACCTACGGTGCTCTGTTTTTAAAATTGATGGTTCTTACCCCGCCTAGGTGCAGGTGGGGGGGGGGGTGGTGTTTACCAGAGGGTTAGGGAGGATTGATCAATTTTATGAACGGAGCACCATAGGGGTACAGTAGCTTCCATAACTACGACTCCCTCCGTCCCGGAGTATTCGTCCAGTTTTGACTTTTGGAATTGTTCATCTAAGCACTTTGACTCATCAAATTCTCTCAATGTGTAAGCCTAAATATAGTCATATATGATCTTGTTTGATTTGTCTTAACATATAGATTATTAATATATAATTTCTATAATTTTTTAATATACAAATTACAAAATAAAATAGATTAAAGAAGTGTATTGGATGGTGTGTAAAAATGAAAGTGGACAAATACTCTGGAACGGAGGTAGTAGAACCTAGCCGTTATTATTATTACTATTATCATTATCTATCATCATCTCAATAAAATTCAAAATTGATTTATTGTCATAATTTGTTAAAAAATCATGTCTTCGAGATAAATTTTAGTTACTATATTATAGAGCCAATATAGATTATCATAAACTAATTAATTTATAATTCATGATAATTTTAAATTTTTTTAAATATGTTATAGTCAACGTCTTAAAATTATGACCATAAATCATGTTTTAAAATTTTAACCAAAATAAATTCTATTTTCTTCTATTAAGCATTACATAAATTTTAAACATGGATGAACTCTTTTCTTACGAAATGCACGTTCCAAACATATACTCCGGTACAAAAAAAAACAAATGTTCATACATCAATAATGGTGTGATGACATCAATATTTTAAATTTTCACATATGCATATGATGTACCCTATATGCTACATCCGTTGCATAAAAATTTTCTATTTGACAATTACAAAATAAAAAAATTTAAAAAGTAAAAAATTCTTTAAGTATTCTTGAGACAAAAAAATCTAAAAGTTTTTGCGGGAATGATTGGTTGTCTTTCTTAATTAATAAAAAGCATTGCTTTATTTATCTCCTTATTTTTGTTACATAGATTAGTGACATACAATTCAAAAATAAAAATTAATATAATTGATTGATTTAAGAACAAAGGTAGTATGAGTCACAAAAATTATAATTTGAGATAAAATATAATGGCATAGAAGAAAGTAAAAGAAGATTAAAAATTGAAAACAGTAGAGTATAAATTTTTAAAATAAAATAAGAAATGTATAAAATAAAATAAATATTTCAACACATTTTAAATTTGTTTTCAATTCTATCAAATCTTTTTGTTAGCGGATATTTGTAGTTTTGGACTGTAAATAGTTTATCGGGCCCACTTAGTAACCTAGCCCGCTTTGTATTTGTATAAATACGTTGCTTGTGATTAATAGAGATCAGTTCAGTTTTTTCACTTTTTACATGGTATCAGAGCCAAAACCCTGGGCACGATACGTTTGATTTTTTTTCGGTGGTAATACCGATCGACTGACTCACGCCGGTCGTCTCCCTCGTCGGCAACTAGTGTGTGTTCGGCGATCTCCCTGGGCGATTCTTCTGCAGAAGCGGCACGGCGACTGAGAATTTGTCTCGGTTTGGTCCTTTTGTGTCAAGCTTCGAAGATCCGTCATGACGTCTACCACAAAGAAAACCCGATTGATTCATGATCCTTCGACTGAGTATAATCTTCATCCTTCCGAGGGCCCAGGTAACGCTCTCACGAAACATGTTTTGAAAGGCGATAATTTTGATACGTGGGAAAAGACTATTGTTAATGCCTTGAAGGGTCGTATCAAGGCCAGTTTTTTGTCTCCTGTTGGTATGGCTAAGCCGACAGATCCCATGGAACTTGAGGCTTGGGAAGCAAATAATTCTACGATTTGCAGTTGGATTTTTAACAGTGTTGATGAAACAATTCAACCCAGTATTGCTTCCCATACTGTGGTTCATGAATTATGGACAGATGTGAAAGCTCGTTATAGCACGGTTAATGAGCCCCATATCTATCAGTTGGAAAATGAATTGCAAAATCTCCATCAGAAAGGTCAAACAGTGGTTGTGTATTACAATCAATTTGTCACTATTTGGAACAAATTATATGGAATGGATGATCCAACATGTGGATGCAAGTGTGAGGCAGCGACACAGTTGAAGGACCGGGCTGAAAAATCAAAAACTCGAAAGTTTCTTTTGGGTTTAGATGACGAACAGTTCGGGAGCATACGCGGCCAAATTCTTGGAACCCAGCCCTTGGTGGATCTCAACAAGGCGTTCTATTTAATCACCCAAGAGGAACGACATAAAAACGCTGTTCGTGCTCGAGATGACCACACGGATGCCATGGCCTTTGCTACAACTCGAGCAACCTCAAACGGGTATCAATGCACTCATTGTGGAAAATCGGGGCATACTGTTGATCGCTGTTATATGATCATTGGATTTCCGAATTCGGGCAGGGGACGTGGCCGCCAGTCGCCTAGCCGAGGGGGAGGTCGCGGCAACAGGGGCGGCCGAACAGCAGCACAGCCGACACCTACTGCCGTCAGGCAGCACGGAGGAACGGCAGGCCCGTCAGCCCATGCAGCAGCCGAATCATCCTCCTCTCTCTCTGCACTATCATCCGAACAAGTCGCGCGTCTTTTCTCCATGCTAGAAGCATCCCATTCCACTCCTGATAAGTTGCAAGGTATGTTTCGTCCCACTTCGAGTGAATGGTTAGTCGACAGTGGGGCCTCTCATCATATGACAGGAGATTCCTCGTATCTGACAGACATTAAACCCGTAGCTCCTTGCACAATTAGTTTGCCTTACGGAGCACGAGTCGTGGCAAACTCGTGTGGACGAGTGCACCTTTCCTCGACTTTGATTTTAAATAATGTGCTCCATGTGCCGAATTTAAAATGCAACCTGATTTCTGTGAGTTGTTTAGTCAACTCTCTTAATTGCCATGTTTTCTTTGATGACCATTTTTGTGTGATACAGGACCGAACTTCGAAGACGCAGATTGGACGATGTGAAGTGCGCAACGGAGTTTATGTCTTTTCTCCTTCTGCCCAAGCGTCCACAGCTGAATCCGTCTCCCTGTTGCATCAGCGTCTTGGTCACCCATCACCCCAAGTTTTATCTTTACCTCCGTTTAATAAAAGCACGGCTGAAATTAAAAATTTTCAGTCATGTGACATTTGTTTCTTTTCCAAACAAACTCGATCTAGTTTTTCCCAGAGTACTAATAAAGCTGATGCATTGTTTGATTTAATTCATTGTGATTTGTGGGGCCCTTATTCTCCATGTTTGTCTACTGGTTCACATTATTTTCTCACCATTGTTGATGATTATTCTCGCGCTGTTTGGGTTTTCCTCATTATTGACAAAACAGAGGTTACCAGTTGTCTGAAACAATTTTTTCAAATGATTCAAACTCAATTTGGGAAAGTTATAAAAATTGTTCGCACAGACAATGGTACTGAGTTTGTGAATAAACATCTGCGTCAGTTTTATACCAGTATGGGGGTTCTTGTCCAAACTTCTTGTGTTCACACCCCGCAACAAAATGGGCGTGTGGAACGCAAACACAGGCATATTCTTAATGTGGCTCGTTCACTAATGTTTCAGGCATCCTTACCCCTTGAGTTTTAGGGTGAGTGCGTTCGTACTGCTGTGTATCTCATAAATCGAACCCCCACTCCTTTGTTACAGGGAAAATCACCTTTTGAACTACTTTCTTCAAAACCTCCAGACGTGTCTCATCTTCGGGTATTTGGTTGTTTGTGTTATGTTCGTCTTACCCCACGTCCACCAAATAAATTTCACCCCCGTAGCCTTAAATGTATGTTTGTGGGATACCCTACGGGAACTAAGGGTTGGCGTGTATATGATCTTGAATCTCACCGATTTTTTCATGCTCATTATGTTTCTTTTGATTAAACAGTTTTCCCGTTTGCACTGTCCACTACGCCAACCTCGTCTCCCGAGGCTTCTTCGCGTCCCACCCACGCCGACTTTCCCACCGTCCAACCAGTGTCTGCCGCCGATCAGCCCACATCGCCGGCATCCGTCCCAGCAGTCTCCGGGCAGTCCCCACCTCAAACCGATAGCGACGGTGAGTCTGCCCCGGACAGTCCACCGTCGCCTACACGCCCAACCCGTGATCGGAGACCCCCCACCAAGCTCTCCGATTACTATTGCCACACTGCCCGGACATCTACTCCCGTTGTTCCTCGCATTGCTCCGTCTAAGTCTTCAGGTACTCGATATCCTACCCACAATTTTGTTCATTATGAGAAATTACATGACAGGTACCGTGGATTTCTAGCTGCAGTGACTTATTGCGAAGTCCCAACATCATTCAAACAGGCCATGCAACATGCAAATTGGAGACATGCTATGCAACTGGAAATCACAGCCTTGGAAAATAATCACACATGGGAGGTAACTGACCTGCCCCCGGATCGGACAGCTCTTGGATGTCAATGGGTTTATCGTACGAAGTTTCACTCTGATGGTACGAAGGAACGTGATAAAGCAAGGCTTGTGGTTTTGGGAAATCATCAGGAATTCGGAACAGATTATACAGATACGTTCGCTCCCGTAGCCAAAATGGGGACGGTACGCATTTTACTCTCTGTTGCTGTAGCGCGCGGTTGGGAGGTCCATCAACTTGATGTTAATAATGCTTTTCTGAATGGTGATCTTATTGAGGAAGTCTATATGCGCATGCCTCCCGGTTTTTCCATTCCCGGGAAAGTATGCCGGTTACGGAAATCATTGTATGGGCTACGCCAGTCTCCTCGCAACTGGTTTCATAAACTCAGCACTGCTCTTCGCCAGTGGGGTTTTAAACAGGCCCATAAGGATCATACTCTATTTATTCTTAGTCATGGCCCGGATATTCTCACTGTTTTGGTTTATGTTGATGATATTCTGGTTGCAGGCAATAATTCTACCTTATGCACTTCTTTTAAGCGGTATTTGGACAAGTGTTCTCAACTAAAGGATTTAGGTCCGGTTAAATATTTCTTGGGCATTGAGTGTGCTCGTTCTGCTTCGGGCATGGTGCTGTGTCAACGCAAATATGCGTTAGAAATTTTGCAGGAAGCTGGACTTTTGGGATGCAAGCCCGCTGATACGCCGCTACCTACGACGCACAACCTTGGCCGGTCAACGGCGGCTGTTCTCCACGACCCCGCGCGGTACCGCCGTATTGTGGGGCGTCTGATTTATCTCACTATCACTCGGCCGGATATTTGTTACTCTGTCCATGTTTTATCTCAGTTTATGCAGGCTCCCACTCTTGACCACATGAACGCAGCTATGCGTGTTCTTCGTTACATCAAGGGTCATCTTGGTCAAGGTATATTTCTGAGCGCCACCAGTAATCTCCAGATCTCGGCGTATTGTGACTCCGATTGGGCTAGCTGCCCATTGTCTCGTCGTTCTGTTAGCGGATATTTTATCATGTTGGGTACGTCTCCAGTATCATGGAAAACGAAGAAACAAACTACTGTTTCTAGGTCTTCTGCAGAGGCAGAGTACAGGGCTATTGCAAATGCTTGTGTAGAGATTCGTTGGATGCGAGGAATTCTTATTGCTTTGGGCGTGCCTATATTATATCCTCCTAGATTATATTGTGACAATCAGTCCGCGTTGTACATTGCAGCGAATCCTGTTTTTCATGAGCGTATGAAGCATGTGGATGTTGATTGTCACACTGTTCGAGAGAGTGTCCAGCGGCATGAAGTCTCGACAAGATACGTCCCAACGAGATACCAGTTAGCTGACATTTTTACCAAACCTCTAGCGAAACCCAGTTTTGATTTTCTGATGTGCAAGTTGGGCATTCTGGATCTTCATGCGCCAACTTGAGGGAGAGTGTTAGCGGATATTTGTAGTTTTGGACTGTAAATAGTTTATCGGGCCCACTTAGTAACCTAGCCCGCTTTGTATTTGTATAAATACGTTGCTTGTGATTAATAGAGATCAGTTCAGTTTTTATCACTTTTTACACTTTTCTAATTCATTCTACTTTTCTACTTTCAGTTTCTTTCAACATCCAACTATTATCATTATCATCATCTCAATAAAATTCAAAATTTGATTTATTGTCATAATTTGTTAAAAAATCATGTCTTCAAGATAAATTTTAGTTACTATTATAGAGCCAATATAGATTATCATAAACTAATTAATTTATAATTCATGATAATTTTAAATTTTTTTAAATATGTTATAGTCAACGTCTTAAAATTATGACCATAAATCATGTTTTAAAATTTTAACCAAAATAAATTCTATTTTCTTCTATTAAGCATTACATAAATTTTAAATATGGATCAACTCTTTTCTTACGAAATGCACGTTCCAAACATTTACTCCGGTACAAAAAAACAAATGTTCATACATCAATAATGGTGTGATTACATCAATATTTTAAATTTTCACATATGCATATGATGTACCCTATATGCTACATCCGTTGCATAAAAATTTTCTATTTGACAATTACAAAATAAAAAAATTTAAAAAGTAAAAAAATTCTTTAAGTATTCTTGAGACAAAAAAAAATCTAAAAGTTTTTGCGGGAATGATTGGTTGTCTTTCTAAATTAATAAAAAGCATTGCTTTATTTATCTCCTTATTTTTGTTACATAGATTAGTGACATACAATTCAAAAATAAAAATTAATATAATTGATATTGATTTAAGAACAAAGGTAGTATGAGTCACAAAAATTATAATTTGAGATAAAATATAATGGCATAGAAGAAAGTAAAAGAAGATTAAAAATTGAAAACAGTAGAGTATAAATTTTTTAAATAAAATAAGAAATGTATAAAATAAAATAAATATTTCAACACATTTTAAATTTGTTTTCAATTCTATCAAATCTTTTCTAATTCATTCTACTTTTCTACTTTCAGTTTCTTTCAACATCCAACTATGTGTTTATAACTCAAATGAATAAAGCTAAAGTCATAACGAAGCTCAATTAGAAATTCATAAATCTCTTCTTGTTATTTTAAAATTCAAGATTTTAAACTTTGGAATTAAAATGCAAATATTAAAATGAAATGATAGTAACAAACACTACCTAATAGCATTTGAATACTTGATCTAAAAAAATAACACTGTTAGGTAGTGTTTGGCAACTAGCATTTCATTTCAATTCATGCATTTCAATTCCAAAATTTGAAATCCTGAATTTCAAATGACTAGAGGAGGTGCATGAATTTCAAATTAAGCTTTGTTTTGAATGTAAAGAATTTGATTCAAATCCAAATTCAAAATGCTTAAGTTTCCCAAACATGGAATTTAAGTCAAATCCGGATTTAAAATCCAAATCCATGTTCCCAAACATACCATTAATGAATTTATAAAATCTTCGAATGAGCTTGCCCCCTCCAAATTGCTGTTAATGAATTTATAAAATCTTTGAATGAGCTTGTACTTCAAGCTTCCGAACCCGTTTATAACGTTTGTTACAAATCTCATCCGGTTTTAGTAACCAAAATTAGGGCTGTGCATCGATCTAAACCCGGACCGACCAGGACCGGACCGGGACCGAATAAGAGCAAAGTAATAGACCGTAGACTGGACCGACAAAATGTAAGACCGGACCGGGACCGGACCGAAAAAACTGGATCGGTCCGGACGACCGACCCGAATAAGGACCGAATAAGGGGAATATGCCAATTAATTGAAACTTTGAATTGAAGAGAAACATCACTGCCCATCACTACTATCCAATTTTAATTTCATACTTCATTATGTTTTAAATTAAAAAAAAACAAAATAAATGGGAAATAGCTACTCGGTAATATCACTGCTCATTAGGGTAATGAATGAAGACCAAATGTTCGGCGGAATCAAAGTTGACAAAGTGTTTGTCGTTTGATATTTTTATGCCGGCGAGAAGAGAGAGGTATGTGGATTTGCTACTAGCTACTCCTTATTGGATAGGGTTGTGCATTAAGGTGGATTCCATAATTTGAGGTAATGGGTTTGTGTATGGTAAAGCCCATATACTAAAAGTCTAAAGTAGTTATATAAAAGCCCGTATAATCGGTCCATCGATCTTCGGACCGGACCGGACCGGAACCCGGATAATGAAAATTGATGGATCGGAGACCGGACTGAATTAGGACCGGTCCGGACCAGTCTGATTTGGTTTTGGCCGGTCTTTGGGTCGGTCCGAGTTTGGACTGAATAATGCACAACCCTAATCAAAATAATCGATAACACTAAGGTAGTGTTTGAATAGTGAGAAAGGGGAAGAAAATTAGTAAGAATGCAAGGAAGAAAGACACCTAGCTAAAACCATATGTATTTTTGTTTGTTTTAAAGAGAAAATACAAAGAGTGAGAAAACTAATTAAGTATGAGTCTCACATAAAAAAATCCCCCCCAATCCTTTTGATTTCTTTTCTCTTCATGTTCTTTCAATTTTCCATCAATCCAAACACTTTTTTTGTTCTCTTCATTTCTTACTATTATTTTCGTCTCTGAGTATTTGTCTCGTTTTAATTTTTTTCAGTCAACTATTTTCAACATTTGACTTATATTTAAATAAAATATATTTTAAATACTCCCTCCGTCCCAAAAAGATTTACACGTTTCAAAAAAATTGCGTCCCACAATCTCCTACCCATTTCTATTAAAAAACCACTTTTACCCCTTACTTTTTTAAACTCTATTTATCACATCATACATTTTTTCTAATAATCTACACATCACATCCTACTTTTACCCATCACATCAAGGGTATTTTTGGAAAGTCAACACAAAATTATCTCTCTTTTAATTTCAACTTTAGTCAAAACGTGTAAATCTTTTTGGGACGGAGATAGTATTATTTAGATAAAATAGTATTTTTAAAATATTTTATATAATAAAATAAAACTATTTTCTATCAATATTCATTTCTATTCCGGTAAAATCTCCAACATTCCTTCCATGATTATTCCAAGAAAAAAAAGTTTTATCAAAATATGTATCACACCTCGGTAAAGGCTGCCTGCCGGCCTCCTGCTTAGAGCTCAGGATCGACTGGAAAAACGTTAAAAGGTTGCTGCTGTTCCTAGTACGCATCCCGAGGAATCATTAGATGTATATATCGACATTAATGTCCTTCGATTTATTATTATTATTATTAGGATTAAGCTATGTCTATCCAAAATTTATACTCCAATTTATATCCCGCAGGTTTACACCAACATTTTGTGTTGATGTAAAATTAATTTTTGTTAACGCATCAATACGTGTGTCGGTGTAAACCATCAAAATGTTTGTGCATAACTGTGATGTATAAATGAGGTATATTTTTTGGTGTATTATCTATGACCATACATATATGCTAGTGTAATTAAGTAATTAATTGATAATTCACTTGTTAATAATTTGCACCTCTCGTACGTTCACATACATAAAAAAAATACGTACAAACGCCCCTCTGATCGGATGCCACGCCGATTCCCACTCTGCTGCGAACTCACTGCTCACCTCGTTCCTTCCCCATCACCTCTGCTAGCTTAGCTGCACATCATATAATTATTATAATTCTCCAAAAAAAGGTGAAATCGTTCACCCTGGGCGCCCCTCACCCCCGACCCGACGGGATTGTGAGAGGAGGTAAATCACGGTGACCAAAGCACAACACTTAGCTAGACCATATCCTAGTGCGCATCAGAGACTCCCCCCATTTTTCAGAGGTGGTCGCCTCCACAACGGTCGCTGCAAGATTTCGATCCTTGGTCATTCTCCAAACTTCACCAAGTGCTTGCCACTTGGGCTACCCGTGCGGGTATATAATTATTATAATGACAATAATAATGAAGTACTTGTTGTACCCAACATGATCTTTACTAGGGTCATCATGTTCCAACCAACTTTGTAGACATAAAAAATACAGTATGAAACTCCCTCCTACTTATATACTTCCTCTGTTCCTAAATATTCACAATATTTGCTTTTTTAATATAATAGTTGCGGGAACTTTTGTTTATTTCGACGTTTCCATTGGTTATTTGATAAAATAAAATATTCTTGACACCTCTTATTTTGAAAAACTTTTCATGTAGTTTTTTTATATGTAAATGTCAAGAACCAACTCAACCAAAAGCTCAAGTTTGTGGTTGTGACCCAGAAACAGTTAATTATATTCTAACACGCCCCCTCACGTGCAGGCGTAGTCTTTTTTTCGAGCCTTGCACGTGAAACCTTAATTTTTTTTAAACTGGGTGGCAGTGAGTTTCGAATTCGTGACCTCTTGGCCATCAAAGCTCTGATACCATGTCAAGTAACCAACTCAACCAAAAGCTCAAGCTTTTATGGTTGTGGCCTAGGAATAGTTATTTATATTCTAACACGCCCCGGCACGTGCAAGCGTAGTAAATTTATTTTATTTTTTATTTCTATACCAATATGTAAATAAAATAATTGAAAAAACTTGATATTTTGCCACAGGAATACAAATGTGACAAATAATTTGGGACGGAGGGAGTATTAGAGCAATGCTAGGGGTACACCAAAGGTGTATCCCAAATATACATCACTCTCTTCTTTAATACTCATTTTTACGGAGTATTTGATTTTTACTCCCTCCGTCCCACTCTTTTTGTCCACTTTCATTTTTGCACACCATCCAATGCACTTCTTTAATCCATTTTATCTTGTAATTTGTATATTAAAAAATTATAAAAATTATATATTAATAATCTATATGTTAAGACAAATCAAACAAGATCACACATGACTATTTTTAGACTTACACATTGAGAGAATTTGATGAATCAAAGTGCTTAGATGAACAGTTCTAAAAATCAAAACTGGACAAAAAGAGTGGGACGGAGGTAATACTTATTTATTTATTTTTTTTAAATTTCTTACCCATTTATGTGAACAAGGAGGGGGTGGGGGGCATATGGGGTATACGTTTGGTGTACCCCTTGCATTTTTCTATATATTATGGTATTGTAACACCGAAACACGCATAACTCGAATATGTGAGTCAGCTAATTGGGTTGCTACGAATCACAGCTTGGAATCAAGCTTGAAAACGTAACAATTCATTCAAAAATTATTAACTATTCGAAATTTTTAAAGAAGAATTGGAACTTAAATTGTGTGTTCTTTGATACAAATGCCCATAAATATTTATATGGGTGATACAAAGTTTACAAACGATGAGTGAAGAGCCCGGGGATAAAAACGATGAGACTTATACAAAATATACACATAAAATATATACGCACACCAATATCTCTCTCAAGTTGGAGCATGAATATCATAAATGTCCAACTTGGATAATAATGGCTGAAACAGCGGACCAAGAAGCGC